CCATCTTGATAAGGAAGAAATGGACAAATGAGTGGACTACTGACATCTTTCAGGAGCTCTGTGTTGACTGCCCGCTGTGAGCTCGGCCTGATACTGGGGAAAAGAGTCCTAGAACTGACTGCCCTAATATCAACTTGGATGTGGGATTCTTGAAGAGAAGAGGTTACCCGGCAGCATTTACTGTCACAGTCAAGGTGGGTACCGTGGCAGGCAGAAAGCTAGGGGGGAGCTCAGGAGGCCCGGGCCTGGGGAAGGGGTGGGCGGTGAGCAGGGTGCTGCTGACCCAGTAATTATGATCAGAGACACGTCAGGCTCTGCCACCTGGACAGCAGCCGCCACGGTCCCTCACCCAGTTTCCATGTTTAACTCAAATTCAGACTCACAGCTGTCAAACCGAAGAGGAAGCTGGAAGCCCCTGGGCATACGGCTCTCCCACTGCTCCCACCAGTTATGCTCCCACTGTGTCCCTGAAGGAGTCTGTGGCCATTTACCAGGGTGAAGTGTCACTGGTGAGGGAGAGAGAGAGGCTTTTCGAGGACTGGGGAAAATAGTGCACAGGGGGACCAGGGACACCAGGACTCTGGGAGAAGCCCACGTCCATCTCTAACGGGTCTGCAGATCTGCCCTGTTTATTGGGATACACATTCTTAGCTGCCAGCAGAATGCTCACACTGGCTCCTTGGCCGGAGGAATAAGGGCCGTTCCAGCAGAAAAGAACCACGTAGGGGCCTAGGAACTTCCTCCCTCCACCAAGACAGTGCGCCTGATGGAAGGAGTGGCTTTGCTGGAGAAATTGCGGAGGTTAGCACAGCATCAGACACCAGGGAAGCAGATGTGGTGTTCCCAACACATCTCCATTAGGTTCACCTGTCTGGCCTTTGCAAAAACAAGCTAATAATGACAGTGGGTGACGGACGGCAGTAAACTCCAATGGGCAGCAGGGCCAGTGAGAGCTGCCACGCCGGGAGAGGTCTGCACTGCAGCAGAGCACTACAGCCTCTGCACTTGGTGTGTGGCCGGCATTTCGGCAAACTCTTTCTTCTCAATGTCCTCACTCAGGAGGGGCAAAAGCAGCTCACCTCCACCAGCACACAGTGGCACTCCTGCCCTCCTTCGCCTCAGGGCTGTGGGTGCTCCTAGGCTTTCTGGTGGGCAGAATAATGTCCCCCAAAGATGTCTACCTTCTGCTCCCTGGAACCGGTGAATACTCGAGGCGATGAAGCAAGAATGGAAGGGAGGCTGCAGATGAATGAGTTAAGGTTGCTAACTGGCTGACCTTAAACCAGGAAGGCCGTCCCAGATTACCCAGGAGATCCAATGCGATCGCGAGGATCTGTAAAAGTGGAAGAGGTGGCCGGGCGCGGTGGCTCACGCCTGTAATCCCAGAACTTTGGGAGGCCAAGGCGGGTGGATCACGAGGTCAGGAGTTCGAGACCAGCCTGGACAACATGGTGTACGTCTCCACTAGAAGTACAAAAATTAGGCTGGCGTGGTGGCACGTGCCTGTAACCCCAGCTACTCGGGAGGCTGAAGCAGGAGAATTGCTTGAACCTGGGAGGCAGAGGTTGCAGTGAGATAAGATTGTGCCACTGCACTCCAGACCGGGTGATGGAAGCAAGACTCTATCTCAGAAAAAAAAAAGTGGAAGAGGCGCCGGGCATGGTAGCTCACGCCTATAATCCCAGCTCCCCAAGGGGCCAAGGCAGGGGGGTCAGGTGAGCCTCGGGTCTCGAGACCAGCCTGGGCAACATAGCAAGTTGCTGTCTCAGAGAAAAAAGCTGGCTAATGGCAGCAGATGAACAGGTGGCCCCAATGTTAAATTTAGCAGAAAAGAGCTTTAAATAGGTAACGTAACTATATTAAGGAAAATATGAATGAAATGGACACAAATATTGATAATTTTCAAAAAGGAACTAAAATCTATTAAAAGTGAATCCAAAAGGCATTCAGGAACTAAAAACCGCAGTATATAAAAGTAGCGTTTCTGATCTCATTTGTCTGTAAATGAAAGCATAACTATTCACACAACAAAGTTATTTTTTAAAATATACACTACAAGGTAGATGTTTTTTTCACTCACTTCTGCTGCAGGCTTCGTGGCCAGGTGCTAAATGTCCTGCCACATCTACAAAAGTTCAGCCTCAAGAACACACCCAAGACTGCATTTCCAAGTGCATTCGAGATTCCGCTGAGCAGATGAGGCGGGACGCATGTCTAAATGCTAAGCAACATGCATTCTCAAGGTTTTCCATCTCAGCAAACTCCAGACTGAACAACTCCAGTCGAACAGCCCAAGTCCTTGAGAAGAAAAATTGCAAAGATGAAAAACAGAGGGAGAAAAACCTACACAGTCATACTGAAAGAGGCTCGCTGACATGGGAGCACACACCTGCAGTCCCAGCTGCCCAGGCTGAGGCGGGAGGATCGCTTGAGCTCAGGAGTTGGAGGCTGCAGTAAGCTGGGGTTACGACTGGGAATAGCAGCTGGATTCCAGCCTGGGTCAGACAGCTGACCCCATTTCTTAAAAAAAAAAAAAAAAGAAAGAAAGAAAGAAAGAAACTCCCAAACCAAAAACAGTGGAAGAGGGAGGCAGAAGCGGAGAGCCAGAGGGAAGGAGACTTCAGGTTGAGCCTGGGGCTCAGCCACACCTTCCTGGTGGAGGCTGTTCTTCCTTGAGAAAGCAGCTTCCCGCACACTACCTTCCAGGCAGGTTTCCCAGGTCTGCAGTCACAGCCTTAGGCAGCCCAGCAGCCATCTACTACGTATGGAAACAGTGGGTGCAGGGCCTGGCCCAGATGGCACAGGTGAGTCCTGGGGCCCAAGTGACCACATCGCAATCTCCCCCATCCTGGGGAGGGCGTCGATGTGGAGGAAAGGCGGGAAAGGGTTCCCACACGCTGGCACCAACTCCGGCCTGACCTCTCCTGCACGGAGGCTATAGCCAGCACAGCCATGCTATAGTCCCATGCAGGGAGGTCCTGGGGGGCAGCAGCGAGGGACAGCCCCCCTGGGGGCACCTAGTCACCCACTTCCTGTGGATGGGAAGAGTCGCTCGAGCTCTGTGTATCACTGACTCCAGACACCGGTGAGGGCTGGGCTGGCTCTCCAGGGTTTGAAGTAGACAAGCTCAGGACGGCAGTGATGGGGACAGCTGGGGAAGGCTGGGGGATGGGCCTGTGAGGAGCAGGGAATGCCAAGCTCAAGGGAAGGCTCTGCACCTTGTGGGGCCGCCCCTAGGGAGAGTCAGGGGTGCAGACAGGCAGGTGACATCATGACTGCATCATGGATGGCAGCCAGCAGGCCCAGGGCAGAGTGGCACGGGGACAGGAACGGTGGCTACACCACCAGGAGCTCCTTTTCCAACATGGATCTAGAGCAGGGCCACCCACGTGGACGTGTGGAGACAGCAGGGCTGCAGGCCAAGAGGAGGAGGCTGGGAAGGCGTGCTCTGTCTGGATGGACTTCCGAGAATAGACTCTGAGTGCAAAAATAGCGTGTCCATGTGATGGCGACCAGGTGTCCCCACAGCACAGAAAGCGCTGAGTCAGCAGCATGGACTCCTACAAGGGCCCGTGAGCCGGGCATCCCCGGCTGCAGGCTGGAGCCTGGCACGTCCTCAACACTAAGTGCCCAGCCCTGAGCCTCCCACCTGGAGACAGAGCAGTTTCACTCCACCCCTGCTGCTCCGAAGAAAACACTGTCTATTCTAGCTAAAACAGACGTTCCTAGCAGATGCGTAGAATCCTGCCTGCCAACCCCACCTATGTGGTCCCAGCACCCCTGGCAGCCTTGCTTCCGAGCTGGAAACCCACTTTGTAGCAAAAAGAGGCACCATGGCAGGGGTCATGGGGCCCCCTGCTCCTGTCTGCCCCACATCCTGCAGCAGCCAAGGCCCCCAAGACACCAAGGCAGTGATGCTAGACTGTCCTGGAGGAAGGCTAGGAGTCCACCTCCAACTACAGAAAGCAAATCTGGGGCACCCCCGCCTTTCCCTGACACCAAGAGCAGGAGAGCTGCCTCTTGGTTTCCCACCAGGAGAAAGCAACAGCAAGACACAGGACCAACTGGAGACCGTCCAGGCAGAGCCTCGGTGCTGGCCTTCAGTGGCAGATCTTCCTGGGGCCTGGCCTTGCCTGTGCTCCCTGCCTCCTCTCAGTGCTGCCTCTTGCCAAGTCCAAATCCCAGCTACTGGACCCACTCCACCACTCACATCCCACCGGGCCTTTCCACGCATGCTCCCGCACGCTGCAAAGTCTCATCAAACAACGGTCACTACTTCCGTCCTCAGGACAGGGTCAGGCTTTATCCCAGCACCTGGAGCAGGGTGGGGGGGGGTACACAGGCGATCAGGTGATGGGTGGTGCCGGGGACTGGGCGGCTGGAGGCATGCTAACTGGTGGTGCCCACCTGCATCTGGAAGCTGCAGCCAGCATGGCCCATGCCCAGCAGGGATGCACCATGGTCAGACCTGATATGGGCCATGAGGCTGCATAGGCTCCGTGGAGAGGCGCCCAGTGGGGAGCAGGCAGGACCAGGGTGAGGCGTGCCCAGCACTAGCGTGGAAGCAGGAGGTCGGCAGCAGCCAGGACAGAATGGGCAGTGAGGGAGTTGGCGGATGCGGGTACTGGCGACAAGTTTGCGCTGGGAGGCGCTGCTGAGCCTCAGGGTGGTTCTGGGCTGGGGAGGGTTTGAGGAGTCGACCCTGGTGGGGAGCAGCACAGGCTGAGAGCTGCAGAGCCTGAGAAGGCGGCTCGAGGCCCCGTTTCCTGCCACCCTGCCACCAGGCACGCAAGGGGCAGGCAAAACGCAGCAACCTGGGAAGGAGACGGGCCCGTCAGGGTGCTCGTGCGTGCCGCAGGCCTGTGCGGAGCACTCACCCACACGTGCACACACCTGCACATGTCACGCAAGCGCAGCCCCACACCGAGTGTGTCCCAGCCCAGGGCAGCCCCCTGCTGCCAGCTGGCCCACCCGCCCACCCCCAGAGTGTCGGCTCTCACCTGTGGGGGCCTCAGGGCTCTCAGCAGGCTCAGGCTGCCTCACCTGCTTGTCTGCTTTCCTCTGTGGTGGATGGTTCTCCCCGGGCTTCCCTAGAGAAAAAGGACTGTTAGTGAGCTTGGGGTATGAGGGCCCCCACCTCTCAGCCTCGAGAGGCACTCATTGGGCACCAAAAGGGCCGTGGGTCCTGGCCGATAGGGAGGCCCCACCCGGGTCTCTGCCCAAGGACAACCTTAAGGAGCACGGGCTCCTCCCCCACCACCCACTCCACTGCACAGTGGGGTCGGGAGAGGCTCAAGGAGGCACAGGCCAGGGCCAGCCAGCAGGAACAGGCCTGGGCTCTTGTGGGCCCAGGGTGGGCAGGCTGCACCTCTGGTTGGAGGACTCTGTGGGCTGGCAGTGCTGCCTGCTGCCCCTACCCCACTCCTGATGCTGTCCCCCACCTTGTGCCACTTCCCTCCCCCAGGCCCTTCCTGTCTCTGTGTTCAATTCAGTACTCCCCTGGCGGATGGCTGTCTCTGCTCCTGAGCTTCTGGGGTTAGACAGGAGCGGGTATGCTCCAGGCAGGGTTGGGCCAGGCAAACCAGTCTGGCCAGTGTGGCTGAGCCGGCTGGGATGGGGCCCTGGGCGTGGGTGTGAGTCAGCAGCCCCAGGCTGGGGAAACGCTAGGGAGGAGGCCACCTGGAGCCCACCCTCCCAACAGGAAGCCCAGGGGATGCTAGCATTTTGAACTAGCCCTGCACTCCCACCCCTGGGCCTGAGACCCAAAGGCAGCTCTGGCCCAGGTTCTTCAGTGGGCAAGACAGCCAGCTCTGAGCCGGGATGGCACCAAGAGCCCCCGCCCCACCTCCATTGCTGCCCGATCTTTTCTTTCGGCACCACATCAGTTCACAGACTGCTCTGTGGGTCTCTCCCACTAGCCACAGCACTGTGGCCCGAGTCCTGCCCCAGCTCCCACCAGGTCCCTGGGTCCTTTGTCTCCACCGAACGCCATGGGCAAGCTCAAACCCCAGCGGGGCTCCTGTGAGTGTGCTAACTGCCCTGGAGCCCTCCAGAGTGCTCAGGGTGGGCTGGGGCTGTGGGTTCCCGTGGCCAGCGGAGCTCAGGTTGTCTGTTGCCAGTGAGGGTCTGGGCCCTGAGGATCAGTGCGGCCAGGATGCAGCTCCTGGCTCTGTGGACTGCAGTTTGGGTTTCCCCCGACCAGATTTGAGACCAGGGGAGCTGGGGTGGGGTGGGGGCGGGGGGCATTGGTGCCGCCCAGGGCAGGACCAGGCACGCCCGTCGCTGTGCGCAGCCAGCGCTCTAGCTGCTGTGCTGCCTCCTCCAGCTTCTCAGCCTCCTTCCCAGTCTCACCAGCAGGGACTGTGGCCTGTAAAGCCCCGTGCCTGCCGTGTCAGCGCGTCAGTCAGCCTCAGCCTGGGCAAGCCACTGAGCTGGAGTCCCTATAAACTCCCTGGTGTGGCCAGGCCCCGCCAAGTGTGGCCAGTGAGGCCCACAGGCAGAGCCAGAGTCCCGAGCCGTGGTGCCTCGGGCACCAGCCAGGGGGCAGGGCCTGGAACAGGGGGCCGAGCCTGGTGTGGGAACGCACATCCACCGTGGCCTCCCGGGACACCCTCTGAGCTGGCCTGACTGAGGCCGAGGTCGATGAGCCACGGCCCCTGGGGAGCAGACACCTGGTGAAGGAGGCGCTGGATCCAGGGCCATGTCTGGGAAACGAGGTCGAGTTCGCAAACCCCGGGCCAGGAGGGCAGGCAGGGCCCAGCCGGCAGCTGGCCAGCAGGGCCCTGAGGTCCAGCCCCCGCCCCCGACCCCAGGGGGCCCTGAGGGTGAAGCGGGGGTGGCCCCTACAGGGCACGTGACCAGCATCGAGCGAGTTCCTCAGGGACACCCCAGGGTGGCTAGGCCAGAGCAGCCACAGGCAGCCTCGAGGCCAGTGCAGGCCACTGATCCAGGGTCTGAGCTGGTGCTGGTCCTTGCTGGGCACATGGAGGGCTGTGGAGCGGGGGACCCCATGCCGACCCTGGGCCCTGAACTGCTGAGGCTCCATGAGGTCCAGCTGTGCCTGGCCCAGGAGCAGCTGCTGCTGGAGGACCGGTGGCGGCAGGTCCAGCTGCAGATGCAGCTGTGGCAGGAGGAGCAGCTGTGGCTGCAGCAGCTGCAGGAGGAGCAGCTGTGGCTGCAGCAGCTGCAGGAGGAGCAGGCCTGGGCACACGTGGAGGGGCTGCAGCTGGCTGTGGCCCTGGAGCAGCTCCGGAGTGAGGGGCCTGAAGCACTGCAGACCCAAGGCCAGGTAAGGCCTGGAGCGGGTGGCAGGGAAGGGCCCTGGACTATTGGGTTGGTATGGCGGCCACTCCAGCAACCTAGAGATGCCTGCGGAGGGCCGGGATGCCAGGCTGGATGTGGGCATCTGTGGGCCCATCTTCACATCTGCCAGGTGAAGTGGGTACCTGCCGCACAGGGCACTGCATAACCAAGGGACAGCCAGCCTGTCCAGGCTGCCCAGTGCTTGGTGGAAACAGGCATTGAGGGCAGACACTTGTTCAGGGACAGAGGTGTCCCCACAGCAGACCCAGGCAGGCTGGGCCGGAACTGTCCAGGGCAGTGTATGGGCTGCAGGGCAGGGTGAGGGCCTGGGTGTGCACAGACTCAGCAGGTAGCAGAACTGAAAGCAGCCCCCCGCCCCCACAACCCAGTTTCCCGGCTGGCTTGCTGGTCCGCCTGCCCTGCCCCCTGTTTATTGGAGTGCACTCAGGGCTAGAGACTGCGGAAGCAGCACGCGGCGCCTGGGCCCATTATCCTCATTCCAGGAGGGCTGTCCGCCTCAGACGCGGCTGGGGCTATTTTGGGGAGCTAGACTCTAACCCTAGAGTGGCATGGAGGAGCGGTCGCCATCACCCCACCTGTTCCTATGAATCTGGGAGCTCTCTGGCATGCAGGGGTGTTGGGCCAGGCCCATTCTAAGCAGAGGGGCAGTCTGGGGAGAAGGGTGGGTGCTCTCTTAGCAAGCACAGACCCCAGTGCAGGCCTGTGTGCTGAAGGACCCCAGATCTGCAGCCTGGAATGTGTTCACAGCCAGCACAGAGAATAAATGGGAGTCAGGGCAAGGGAGTGGCAACGTGAAGGTGGGGCCAGTGGGGCGCAGTGGGGGCAGTCTCCTTCCTGACCCACTGGAAAACTCAACCCAGGTGAGTTGTCACCGTCCAACCTGGAAGTGACTATGGAGAAGGTGGCCTGGGAGCAAAGCAGCAGGCAGAGGGCAGCACAGGACACCCCCGATGGAGCAGTCAGAGCGGACCACATACTTAGACAGAGAATCCCCAACTTAGACTCAAGCCCTCCTCTTTCAAAACCCATTTGTGGCCACCTAAGCCCCTCCCACTCGCTCCTGCCCCCTTCCCACCTCTATGTGTTCCAAAGCAGGGCTTCTTCGAGTGCTGTCCCCAGGCCCCACCCCAACTCCAGGGGTAAAAGATTCAGGCTCAGGGTTGGAGATGAATGAAAGGGCTCTGAACCCTCAGTCAGTCACACCCAATCCCAACTCTGAGATCACCTGAAAACCACTCCTGGAAGGAGGGCTCTTCTCAGACGGGGTGTCCCTCTGTGGCTACATAGAGGGTCTCGCAAGCCAGTGTCTGGGTGACAGTGCCCTAGAGATCAGAGGGTGCACTTACCAGCAACGGCTCCCGACTTGGGCCCAGGGTGGGGCGTCTGCCACTTTTCAGCTGCAGCTTTTGGTCCCCTCTTCTTACTGTGCATTCTCCTGGGGAGTGAGAAGGACCAAGAGGAGTGCTCAGAGTGACAGAGGGCAGGGGCGGTGGGGAGCAGGGCACACCAAGAGGGCCTGAGTCGAGTGGCTGAGGGCAGGGGCAGTGGGGAGCAGCGCACACCACGTGGGCCTGAGTGGATGACAGCAAGAACATGGGGTCCCCTGAGGCTTCCCAGCTGATGTCCTACCTGCCTGCCTTCCCCAGGTGTGTGCCCAGTAGCTTGAGCCAAGATGCCTAGCAAGAGCACTTGGCCACAGCCCATCCTCCAGTCCCCCAGTCCCGGCTTGCCCGCCCTCCACCCCGGGCTCAGCCCATCCCCCTGCTGGGCCCAGGATCTGGAGTCCAGCACTCACCTCCCTGCTCCAAGCTGCTGGGTTCTCACCACAAGCATGAGCGCAGCCCCCTCTGCTGAAACCTCCATGCCTCTCCACTGCCCTGGGAACCCAGTCAATTCCCAAGCCTGCTCCCCAGCCACACAAAGCACTGACCCATCCACACTCTCAGACCCTCTCTGGTCCCAGCCTTGGCAGACGCTATTGTGAGGCCCTGGAGCATCACCCCTCTCCCTGGTCCACACAGCTGACCCCCAAGTTCATCCCTGGGAGGCTCCTCCTGCCTGCCCCAGCCTGTTGGGGTCCTCGCCAGTGCCCCACAACCCTCACCTGCTACAGCACAATTGCCTGGGCACCGGTCTGACCCCCTCACCCGTTTCCCACGTGATGGCACCAGTGGGGTATCAGTGTTTGGGGAAGGAACAAATGAAATGGGAGTGACCCTGAAAGCAAAATAGGATCACATGGTAAGAGAGACAAAGAGGAAGGTGACTGATGACCGCAGAAAGGTTCAGGAGGGCCAGTTCTTGGGGTGGGAGTGGCAGGGGCCAGGTGTGGTGGTTTGGACAATGACCCAGTGCAGGGTGGGGCCTAAGTGTCGGGAGGGGCCCTAAGCGAGGGCCTGAGGGGAACCTGGGGGGACTGGAGCACCAGGGGCAGCTTGGGGTGATGTGTGGGGGTTGCTGTGTACATGGCGGGGGAGGGGCACCTGGCATGTGGGGCTTGATGTGCACGCTGGGTCCCTTGTCTGTGTGGGACTTGGTTTTTGTAGGGTCCCCGTGTGTACACCCAGGGTTCCATATGTGTGAGAGAGGTCCCCTGTGCTCTCAGAGTCAGTGTGAATATGGCATCCCCTGTTTGCCTGATCCCCTGGGTCAGTGTCTGAGGGATCCCAATTGCAGGTGGGGTTCTCCACGTGCGCAGACGTCAGCGTGTTCCTGGGTGACTGGTGTGCAAGACTGAGTGTGCTTGTGGGTTCTGCCTTCCTGAGGATTCTTCTGTGCTTGTGCGGTTGGTGTACATGAGGAACGGGTCATTCCAGGCCCGCGTGTGCATGGGGGGTCGGTGTACATGAAGGATGAGGGACAGGTCATTTGGGGTTCGTCTGTGCAGGGGGTCAGTGTGTGCAGTGTCCCCTACACGGGTGGGCGTCGGTGTACGGGGATGAGGAAGAACAATAGGGCACCCCAGGTGCTGTGGGCATCAGTGTGTGTGGGGGAGCCGGGGCCTGGGGGTCCTCTGTGTGGGTGGGGTCGTCCCCTCTACGTCTGGGCGCCAGTGCGGAAGGAGACCGGTGTGTGGTGAAGGGATCCCCTGCGCTCTCGGGGCTCCCAGACCCGGCCCCACCCGGCGCTCGGCGCCGCCGCAGCGTACTCACCTGCCTTACCTGCCTCCCCAACTTGGCCAGGAGGCCAGAGCTCCGCCCCTGGCGTCGGGCTGGCTCGTTTCCTAGCTACCGAGCCGGAACTTCCGCGTCACCCCGACTTCCGGGGCGAGGGTCAGGGGTCAGCCTAGGACTTTGAGCCTGGGGTCAACAGCTGGGCTCCCCGGGGCCGGGGTCTTTGAAGTGAGGGCCTCACGGCCTCCGGCGGCGCTGGGCCGGGGTCCCCGCAGGGTGCGGGCGGGTCGGGGCGGACGGTCGGGGCGCGGGCCGGGGCGCAGGAATGCGGGCGCGCCGCGGGTGGGGCCGCCCCGCCCCCAGGTGCTGCCCGGGCAGGCAGGAGGCAGGAGCGCCGGGCGGGGCGGGGGCGGGCGCGTGAATCAGGCCGGGCCGGCGGGCGGGCCGCGCAGGGAGTGGCTGCCGGACCGACCGGACCGCGAGGCCGCTGGGCGGCGGTCGGCTCCTGCTGCCCCTGTGCCGAGACCCCGCGCACCTGGCCAGGTAGGGCCCCCTCCCCCGGCCCGGAGGGGCGGGGCGAGGTGGGGGCGGGCGCCCCTCGGTGCGGTCCCACCTGGGCCGCCCTCGCGCCAGCACCTGGGCCGGGGCCGCGCGATCCAGAGAGGGGCGTTGGAGCTGGGGCGCGGCCGCGTGCGCGGGGCGGCGGGGGGCGGCTCGGACAGGGGGCGCCGCTGCGCGGATTTGGACGCGAGCGCCCTCGCACGACGCCGGCCCGCGAAGAGCCGATAGGAAGGGGCCCGGGGCCGGGTCCAGCCTGCCCGGCCGCCTGGTCCCGCCCTCGCGGCCTAGTTGGAGTCTGGGTGCTGGGCACGGGCTGGACCCGTCCCTGGGGACGGCCGCCGTGGAGTGGGGTAGCCAGAGTGCGGCCTGGATCCCCGCGTGGAGAGCAGGACGAGCGACGGGAGTGCTGCCTCTCGTGCCCACGTTCCTGGGGTGGGGTGGGCGGATGGGGCCCCCAGCCGCCGCAGTTGCGAACGCGTAGGGTGCGCTGACCACGTTGGGCGCTGGGGTGCCCACCCCGCAAACTATCACTGAGCGACTTCCGGTCTGTGAGCTCCGTCCTCCCCACCCCACCTTTCCGCCTCCTAGAGCCTCCACGCCCTCCTGTGCCCGTTGGAACGGCACAGGCTCACCCCACTTGGTGTAGGAACTCTGGATCCTTCCATGGGGTCCTCCTTCCAGATACCCCACTTACGGCCAGGGTGGAGAGGATGGGGTCCTTAAAGTCCAGCTGAGAGCCCTGACCTCAAGTCACAGATCGGGGTCAGCAGAAGAGTGGATTCGTGCTGAGTCATTGGCCATGGGTGGGTTCCGTGCCCTCCCTCCCTTGGGCAGGCGTTGCTACACAAATGTGTAGGCATGCAGGCCACTGGAGTGCTCCATCTCAGGCTCGGGAGTGGCTGCGGCCCCGTCCATAGCTGGGGAGACACGGACCCATGAAAGGGGACAACACGGGGAATGAAGTCGTTGGAGGAAGCCATTGGCATCACTCTGTGTGGACGCTGGTGTCTGCTGGAGGGCTTTTGGCCACAGGGGCTTCCACAGTCCTGACAGTCCCTGCCCACATTACACACAGCCTGGACACTGTTGACTCCCCTACCCTGTGAAATCCAAAGGGACAGTGGGGGTCCTTTCTAGAGTGCTGCCCCCCCAGCAGCAGGAAGTGCCCCTCAAGATCAGCAGGGCTGTTCCCTCAAGCCCTGTGTGATCAGACACTGCCTCTACAGCCAGGCTGGCAGTGGTGAGTGGGCGCCCCCACCCAGCCAGACAGGCCTGCCCCTCACCCCCATGTGGTCGGCCTTGATCTGCTCCTGGCACAATCAAGACAGTGTGCCCTAACCAGCCCCACATGTCAACCATGAGGACAGTGCCTCAACAAAGAAATGTTGGGACAGCTTCTCCCAGGCCGGTTGGCATCTGGGGCTGGATAACTGAGTGGCACCAGGTATTTCCCACGTGTCAACTCCATGTCACCCCCAGGTGCGCCAGGCAGGACGGCTGCCGCCTGACCTTAACATTCTCAGCCAAGTGGCTCCTGCTAGCACCCATGCAGTCCAGCTGGCCAGCGCCCATCCTGTCAACGCCCCAGGGCACGCTCCTCTGTCTGGGCTGAACTGCCTCCCCAGCCAGGGCCAACATTCAGGAACCTGTGTGCTAGGTGGGGATAGGTGTGCTGCCTCCCTCAGCAACCTGAGGAGCACTGGGATGGGCTGAGTGCTCCCTAGGGCTCTCCTTCCAGGGAGAGGTACCCAGGTAGCTCCATGACCATGTGCACATGGGCCCTGGGCACCCTATAGAGGTCCCCATCAGACACCTTTCTGGAGAGGCCAGGCCCCCTGCAGGGACCCTTTGGAGAACAGGGTGGGCTGTGGGGCAGGCAAGCGTGGATGGTGGTGGGGAGCCCAAGACCTGGAAAGGTCCCTGCTGCTTTGGACTGGGGTTGGTGGGGACAGGACTCTGAGCAAGTAAAGAGCGAGATCTGGGGGCTGTGGAGTGCAGGCCCTGAAGGACCTGTGGGCACCAATGGGCTGTGGCCCAGGGAGGTTTCATCTAAGAGGGACAGTGACAAGAGAGAGGTCAAGGGTGGGCCAAGGGAAGGAGAGGGGCTGGTAGACAGGGACAGGGTCTAGGGGTCAGTTCCAGGGCTGGGTGGTCAGAGGATGGGCTGTGGGAACCCAACTGTGAAACTGAGGATGGGGAGGAGGTGTGGCTGAGGTCCACTAACGAGGACCTCCGCGTTCCTGGAGGAGGGTGGTCACAGCCCTGTTTGCTCATCTTAGGTGAAGCATGGCGTCATGTGGACCCTCAGCTGTGTTGTGCAGAAGATGTACAGGCCAGAGAGGTGCAGTGACTTACTCGGGGTCTCCCAGGCAGTCAGAGAGACACAGGCAGCATGGGCAGACCAACTTGTTCAGTAGGCACAGTGCCAGGGGCTCATGAACATCTTAAGAAAAAAAGCGAATATTGTAATGATGAACGTAGCCCAGATTACGTTTGTCTTTAAACCAAGAATCATGAAAGTTTTAGAGGGTTTGGTTTTATTTTTTGTAGCGATGCAGTCTCACTGTGGCCCAGGCAGAGTGCATTGGCACAATCATAGCTCACGGCAGCCTGCAACGCCTGGACTCAAACGACCCTTCTGCCTCAGCTTCCAAGTGGCCGAGACTACAGGCACGTGCCACCATGCCTGCCTAATGTTTAAAATTTTTTGTAGAGATGGGGTCTTGCTGTATTGCCCAGGCTGGTCTCAGACTCCTGGCTTCAAGCACTTCTCCTGCCCCAGCCTCCCAGAGGAAGGAGAGACAGGACTGAGATACCTGTGCCCCAGCCTGGGATACCTGCTGGTGCCTCCTCAGTTAGGGGTGTCCTAGGGCTGGGCCATCCTCTGTGAGCCTGGCTCGGCTGGTGCCCTGGAAGGCGGCCTGGGCATGGGCTGAACTCCGGCCTAGCCAACTCCCTAATGGCCCCTTCCACAGTGTGACCATGCTTGACGGCAGGAGTGGTCCCAGTGCCCCCACCCCTAGTCATGTGTCTCCCTGCCCCTCCAGGCCCTTGGCCCCGACATGGCCCGTCGCTCCCAGAGCTCCTCGCAGGGGGACAACCCGCTGGCACCCGGGTACCTGCCACCTCACTACAAAGAGTACTACCGCCTGGCGGTGGATGCACTGGCCGAAGGTGGCTCGGAGGCCTATAGCCGCTTCCTGGCGTCCGAGGGGGCACCTGACTTCCTGTGCCCTGAAGAGCTGGAACATGTGAGCCGACACCTTCGGCTCCCACAGTATGTTGCCCGAGAGCCCCCCGAAGGCAGCCTTCTTGACGTGGACATGGATGGCTCCTCGGGTACATACTGGCCAGTGAAGTCAGACCAGGCCGTGCCTGAGCTTGACCTGGGCTGGCCCCTGACCTTTGGCTTCCAGGGCACCGAGGTGACCACCTTGGTGCAGCCGCCACCCCCCGACAGCCCCAGCATCAAGGATGAGGCCCGCAGGATGATCCGTTCCGCCCAGCAGGTGCGCTATCGCAGCTGTAGGGTGGTGGGGAAGAGCCTGTGCTGGAGGCACGAGGGTGGAGGAGACACATGAGCATGAGCAGCTTGTGGGGTGAGCCCTGAGCTCCAGCTGTAGTGGGCAGTCCCAGCAGAGATCTTCAGGGCTGGCAGGCCTTGGTCACCATGGGCTGCAGGTTCTGCACAGTTCTCCTTGCCTGTGGTCATGGCCAGTGCCCAGAAACTCCAGGGCTCTGGGATGGGTGGGCACCCCCACCAGCCTGGGTTCATTGTTCAGATAATTCCCTCTCAGGCCAGCTGAGGGCTTCAGACCCTCACAAAGTAGCTGGCAGACTCCAGAGGGTGCTGTTAAACCATGGCAACTGAGGCCTCAAGTGCAAACGCTAAAGACCCCTGCTTTTGTCTCCTGCCCAGGACAGTGACCCCCTCCTGGACAGTGACCCCCCCTCAGCCCTGACAGCTGCCCTGGGGGAGGGCAGCTCAGCCATCTGTAGAGTGGAGGGAAGATGGAGGGCTCCTTGCAGTGCCCACCCTCATTCAGGGTTCTCTGCCCTGCACCTGCCTCACCCCGCCCCCGTTATGGCCAGCAGCTCCATGCTTCTTCTGTTGGGTCCCTTCCTCCTACCCATCTTCCCAGATGTGGCCCCACTCCCTGGGATGGGCTAGCATGTCTGGGTTTGTGGGTAACCCAGACATCTCCCAGGTGTGGAGGGGAAGCTAGACAATGGTGTGAGGACAGCAGGGGCCTCTGGTCTCCATCCTGACCCACCCCTGCAGGTGGTGGCCGTGGTGATGGACATGTTCACTGATGTGGACCTGCTGAGCGAAGTGCTGGAGGCCGCAGCCCGTCGGGTCCCAGTCTACATCCTGCTGGATGAGATGAACGCACAGCACTTCCTGGACATGGCAGACAAGTGCCGTGTCAACCTGCACCACGTGGATGTGAGTTCCTGGGAGTGGGGGATTGGGGAGGCCCCCTGGCAGAGATCTAACTCCCCTCCCTTCCCAGTTCCTGCGCGTGCGGACTGTGGCGGGCCCCACGTACTACTGCCGCACGGGAAAGTCCTTCAAGGGCCACGTCAAGGAGAAGTTCCTGCTGGTGGACTGCGCTGTGGTGATGAGTGGGAGCTACAGGTGCGCCCATGGGGTTCCCTCGGCTCCTTCTCTGGGGCCTCCTCCTGTTGCCCCAGTGCCACCCTTCCACGCTAGGGCCCTTCTCACCAGGAGCCCTTGCCCTGTAGCCACCTGCACCCCTAGGCCGGGCCCAGGCCCTTACAGACCTCACGTCCCTGAGTCCTCCCCGCCCCAGCCGTTGCCCACAAGGCTGCACTGCCCTTGCTCCAGCTCGGTTTGACTCTGGCCCTGACCCCCCACAGCTTCATGTGGTCCTTCGAGAAGATCCACCGCAGCCTGGCACACGTGTTCCAAGGAGAGCTGGTCTCCAGCTTCGACGAGGAGTTCCGCATCCTCTTTGCGCAGTCCGAGCCGCTGGTGCCCTCGGCCACGGCCTTGGCCCGCATGGACGCCTACGCCCTGGCTCCGTATGCCGGGGCTGGGCCCCTCGTGGGCGTCCCTGGGGTCGGGGTGCCAACGCCCTTCTCCTTCCCTAAACGAGCGCACCTCCTGTTCCCACCACCCCGCGAAGAGGGCCTGGGCTTCCCCTCCTTCCTCGACCCGGACCGCCACTTCCTGTCGGCCTTGCGCCGGGAGGAGCCGCTGCGGATGCCGGGGGGCGCCCTGGAGCTGCACGCGGGGATGCGGCCACTGTCGCGGCGCCTGGAGGCTGAGGCCGGGCCGGCTGGGGACCTCGCGGGCACGCGGGGCTTCTTCCAGGCGCGGCACCTGGAGATGGATGCCTTCAAGCGGCACAGCTTCGCGGCCGAGGGCGCGGGCGCCGTGGAGAACTTCGCGGCCGCGCGGCAGGTGTCGCGACAGACGTTCCTCAGTCACGGAGACGACTTCCGCTTCCAGACCAGCCACTTCCACCGCGACCAGCTCTACCAGCAGCAGTACCAGTGGGACCCGCAGCTCGCACCCGCTCGACCGCAGGGCCTGTTCGAGAAGCTTCGTGGAGGCCGCGCGGGTTTCGCGGACCCAGATGACTTCACTCTGGGCGCCGGGCCGCGCTTCCCGGAGCTCGGGCCCGACGGCCACCAGCGGCTGGACTACGTGCCGTCCAGCGCGTCCCGCGAGGTGCGCCACGGCTCGGACCCCGCCTTCGGACCCGGTCCCCGCGGCCCGGAACCCAGCGGGCCCCCGCGCCCCAACCTGGCCCAGCGTTTCCCCTGCCAGGCGGCGGCCAGGCCCGGCACAGACCCCGCTCCGGAGGCGGAGCCTGAGCGCAGGGGCGGGCCGGAGGGGCGGGCCGGGCTGCGGCGCTGGCGCCTGGCCTCCTACTTGAGCGGCTGCCATGGCGAGGATGGGGGCGACGACGGCCTGCCGGCGCCCATGGAAGCCGAGGCTTATGAAGACGATGTGCTGGCTCCGGGGGGCCGGGCAGCTGCCGGCGACCTGCTCCCCTCGGCCTTCCGCGTCCCCGCAGCCTTCCCCACCAAGGTCCCCATGCCAGGCTTGGGCGGCGGCGGCGGCAACAACAGCCTGGAGCGCGAGGGTCCGGAGGAGCCCGGCCTGGCCAAGCAGGACTCCTTCCGCTCGCGCCTGAACCCCCTCATCCAGCGCAGCTCCAGGCTGCGCTCCTCGCTCATCTTCAGCGCGTCACAGGCCGAGGGCGCGACCGGGACTGCGGCGGCCACTGAGAAGGTGCAGCTCCTGCACAAAGAGCAGACGGTGAGCGAGACGCTGGGGCCTGGCGGAGAGGCCGTGCGCTCCGCGGCTTCCACCAAGGTGGCCGAACTGTTGGAGAAGTATAAGGGCCCAGCCCGTGATCCCGGCGGCGGCGCGGGCGCCATCACCATTGCCAGCCACAGCAAGGCCGTCGTGTCCCAGGCATGGCGGGAAGAGGTGGCGGCCCCAGGTGGCGTGGGGGGCGAGCGCCGCAGCCTCGAGAGCTGCCTGCTGGACCTGCGCGACTCCTTTGCGCAGCAGCTGAACCAGGAGGCGGAGCGGCAGCCAGGAGCCGCCTCGCTCACCGCGGCGCAGCTGCTTGATACACTGGGCCGGAGCGGCTCCGACCACCTACCCTCCCGCTTCCTCTCTGCCCAGGGCCGCTCCACCTCCCCGCAAGGACTGGACAGTCCTCTGCCACTGGAAGGGCCCGGGGAGCGCCAGGTGCCCCATTCTGAGCCAAAAGCAAGCCCCACCTCGGCTTACCCTGAGCGGAAGGGGAGCCCCACACCTGGGTTTCCCACTCGAAGAGGAAGCCCAACGACAGGATTTATCGAGCAGAAGGGGAGCCCCACCTCAGCCTATCCCGAGCGCAGGAGCAGTCCTGTGCCCCCAGTGCCAGAGCGCAGGGGCAGCCTCACCCTTACCTTCTCCGGAGAGTCCCCGAAGGCCGGGCCCACCGAGGAGGGGCCGAGCGGCCCCATGGAAGTCCTGCGCAAAGGCTCCCTGCGCCTCAGGCAGCTGCTGAGCCCCAAGGGCGAGCGGCGCATGGAGGATGAGGGAGGCTTCGCAGTGCCACAGGAGAACGGGCAGCCCGAGAGCCCGCGGCGGCAGTCACTGGGCGGGGGTGACAGCACGGAGGCTGCCACAGGAGAGGAGCGGGGCTCCCGGGCACGCCTGGCCTCTGCCACGGCCAACGCCCTGTACAGCAGCAACCTTCGGGATGACACGAAAGCCATTCTGGAGCAGATCAGCGCCCACGGCCAGAAGCACCGGGTGGTCCCTTCCCCGGGCCCCGGCCCAGCCCACAGCAGCCCCGAGCTAGGCCGTCCACCGGCTGCTGGTGGCCTGGCCCCAGATATGTCCGACAAGGACAAGTGTTCAGCCATCTTCCGCTCCGACAGCCTGGGGACCCAAGGCCGGCTGAGCCGCACGCTGCCGGCCAGCGCGGAGGAGCGCGATCGGCTGCTGCGCCGCATGGAGAGCATGCGCAAGGAGAAGCGCGTGTACAGCCGCTTCGAGGTCTTCTGCAAGAAAGAGGAGGCCAGCGGCTCCGGGGCTGGGGAGGGCCCGGTGGAGGAGGGCACCAGGGACAGCAAGGTGGGCAAGTTTGTGCCCAAGATTCTGGGCACGTTCAAAGGCAAGAAATGAGTTTCCTGGCCCAGCAGCCCAGGCCAGGGTGTCCAAATTGCTGCCATGACCACCCGGAGCCTCCACAGAGCAAGGAGAGCACTGCTCCTGTGCTTGAGTGGTGACTGCCAGGCCACGGCTGCTTGGGGCTTGGCTGAGTGCGCCACAGCTCGGCTCCTGTTGGGGCTCACCCGGCAGCTGCCGTCTGTGCTCCTGGCCTTTCCAGTACTAGGGCTCCAGCCCCTCGCCACCAGTGCCTTTCTTCCCTCAGCATCTTCTCTCCTCAGCATCTTCATCTCTGCACCATCAGCCTTGCATGGCGCGGCGTCTGGCTCCGCCATCTCTTTGTGCTTCAGTACCCCCACACCTTTTTTTTTTTTTTTTTTTTTTTGAGACCCAGGCTGGAATGCAATGGCGCCATATCTGCTCACTGCAACCTCTGCCTCTCAGGTTCAAGTAATTCTTGTGCCTTAGCCTCCCAAGTAGCTGGGATTACATGTGCCTGGTATCGTGCCCAGCTAATTTTTGTATTTTTAGTAGAGACAGGGTTTCACCATGTTGGCCAGGCTGGTCTCCAACTCCCGACCTCAAGTGATCTGCCCGCCTCAGTCTCCCTACATGGGGGGATTACTGACGTGCGCCTCCGTGCCCCGCTGAGTCCCCTGTCCTCTTTCAAGGGCCCCACGTTTGTGCCTCAATTCCCCATTCTCTGGGGCTCCTTTCCTCCTCAGGGCCTCCTGCTCTCAGGGCTCCCCTCCCTCCCTCCCTCTCTCTCAGGGTCTCCTCCATCCTCAGGGCTGCATTTCCTGTCCCACTTGGATTCTCCTGCTCACTGCCTCCCAGCATCTTTCTCTGAGGCCTGTGCTCTTGCTGTGGGGAAGATTGGGCTGCTGGCTGCAGGCCGTTTGCAAGGGAGGGGTGGAGCCGGACCGGAAGGATGCCCCTTGGAGTGGCAAGGAAGCTGGGCAGGGCAGACGGCTGGGAAGGGGCACAGGGAAGCCTCAGGGGCTGCCTTGGCAGGTCTGCCGTCTCCTCCAGCAAGGCTCTGGCCAGCACTGGGTGAGAGTGGGGAGGGGCACTGGGCTTTGCAGCTCAATAAAACGGTCCAGATGGACAACCTGTGGCCGCAGCCTCATGAGCGTCCCTTGCGTAGGCCCAGCCTGGGCACCAGAAGGGCTGGATGGTGGGGTGCTTGTCTTTGACAGGTGTGGGGCCAGGTGAGGGCAGGGGACAAGGTGCAGCTGAGGCTGATCCCAGCTGTTGAGACGCAGGTCCTGGGCACCCCTGCAGGTGGGAGTGGTCTTTGCCCTCCTGGTGTCCAGCAGACACCCCACCCCACCCCTGTTCTCAGGGCCTTTCCTCTTTGTCACCAACACCAAGAATGGGTCCAGGCTTCCTGGCTTATCTTTTCTTTTTTCACCCCCAGTGAGGAACCGTAGCGGACTCAGAATGATGCATTTTGGCACCACATGCGTGGAAAGTCCCCCATTGTTAGACGCTAGCTTTGTGCAATTCGTGTTTCTGTATGCTGTGTTTTTAAATTGCATCTACACCACCAGGATCTGCTATTTCTTTTCAAAAAAAAATTTTTAATGTAATAAATCCTAAGAGGGAACTGACTTAAGAAACAAGGCCGCTAGAGGCAGCAGTTCGGACTCCAGCAGCTGGGAGAGGAGGGGAAGTGGCCCTGCTGTCTCTCTGTCCAGCTCTGCTGGACAGCCCCAGCTGGTTACCAAAGCCACCGCCCAAGCAGGGACGACAGCAGGGACTTCTGGCCAGGTGGGAAAGGTGCCTGGAGCGGGTGCACCTGTCTCTTGTGGGCACGTTTGCCTTGGTGCTGCCTGGGGTGTGGCTGAATGGACAGATTCTCAAAGTGGAGCCCATGGAGAGGCCAGAGGCTGGCCGCCCTGCTAGGGCCTTCGGAGTGTCCTGCCTGCACCCTCCACATCTTCTAAACCAGGATGGGGCACATTTCGGTGTTAATAAAACACAACCCACAAAATAATCTAGCATGTTCCCCGTGTGTATAATTGCCCAGTTCTATCCTGCAGCCTCTAACCATGTGGCCTCTTGGGTTCCCCTGTGGCCTCACCACCCATCCCTGTGGGGGGCACTAAAGGCCCCCAGCTTCACTCCGAGGTCCACCGAGGTCCCTCCAACTTCACGCTGTATGTGCTCTCCTCTCCCTGTCCCCGATGCCGGCACACTCCTGGGCACCCACCTGTGCTTCCCCACTCAGCAACCCCACCACACTCTGCCTAGCCTGAGGCCAAGCCTCTAGCCCTGCAGCCCCCTGGCCTCTGTGTCCTGCTTGTTCAGCACCCTGGGGCTGTGCCTTGGGTTTTGGAAGTTCAACAAGCAGACCACTGGGCAGACCCCTCAGGAAACAAGCCCATGGCAGGATCTCTGACTGGCTCACCACCTCCTCCAGCCCTCCGGCTCCCTCATTCACCTCCTCCAACCTTCTCCCAAGCCCAGCCTCCCTTTTTCAGTCTCCTGTAGGTGCTTGGCCCAGCACCAGTGCAGTGCCAGCTCCCACCCTCTGCTCAGCTCCCCTGCTCACACCTTGTCCTTCCTCTCCCTTCCCCATAGTGACAGTTTCTTCCACAAGCCAGCAGAGCCCCTGCTCCCGGCAGCCCACCCACAGCCACAGCACAGGCTGTGCCCTTCAGGCTGAGCTCCTCCAGCCTGTGAGCTTCCCAGACAGTGAGCCTGGAGCCCAACCCCCCACCAGCAGCACAGGCCATGCCCTTCAGACTGAGCTCCTCCCTGTGAGCTTCCCAGCTGCCTGTGTTCCAGCCTCAGCTCAGGGTCAGATGCAGCTGGGGACACCTGGCACCCTAGGACACAGCTCTGTGCCTATAGGGACCTTTGATCTCTGCAGCCCTGCACAGCCCTGGCCTGAACTCACACCAGGGTTTTTGCCTGTGGGTGAGCAGAGGAGGTAACCCTGATCCCACACCCACCCTCACCTACGTAGACTGGAGACAGATCAGGTGGTGGCTGTACAGGGGCGGGGTGGGGGCGCAGGCTGCAGTCCCTGACAGTGGAGGAGGGGTGGGGCTGACCACTTCTCTCCTCTGGCTCAGAGTCACAAAGATGGCCATGGGGTGACCCTAGGTCCCCACCCCACAGGTCCACCCTGGACCCCAAAGCCACAGCAGGTAGGGAGAGAATGGACAAAGGACAGGAAGCGGCCCCAGGCAAACCTAGAGGAAAACGCTCAGTGCAGGATGTGGAGTGGGCAGGACCTCTGGGGTGGAAGTCTGAGGACAGGGGTGGTGGGGTCCTCAGAGGGCAGGCTCCAGGAAAGGGGTCAGGGCCCCCAGCTAGTACGTGCTATGGCTTCAGAAGGGAGTGGAGGAATGATGGCTGCTTAGGTTGGGGGCAGACATGAGTGTATTGGAGGAAGTTACTGGGGCTGGGGCAGGGCCCTCACCTCCCCCAAGGAGACCCAGGCAAGCTCCCTGGAACTTCAACATGGCCAGGCAAAGCAGGGAGGGCTAAGGGGTGCAGGAGACCGGGAGGGTCCGGGAAAGGTGCTGGGGCAGGAACAGGGCCAGATGAAGGGAGTAGGGTGGCTCACACGCGGTGCCCCTCTAGCAGAGGCAGGTGGCCCAGTGCCGAGTGGCAGACGGTCCCATAGGCTTGAGAGTAGCCTCCAAGCAAAGCCCTGGCAGCCCCCTGAGCCCCCTGCGAGGCAGACGTGCAGAACATCCTCCTGCCGGGCCGGGGAGGGACCTGCATACAGTCGAGAGTCACATAAGGGGAAGTGTCAGAGGGGGTGCAGCGAAGGGGAGGCCTTGAGGACCTCAAAGGATGCGAACTGGACAACGGAGGGGCAATGGAAAGGATGGGGAAGGGAGCGAAAAGGAGGGGAAAAGGAGGATGGGGGAGGGGGCAGCCTGGGGCCATGCTCACCCCACCGCCCCGGTTCCGATCACCCCGGATCAGGGCCTGGTTGGCCACCTGAGCCACAGACTGTGAGGTCAGGGAGGACGCTGCTCCCCTCTCACTTGGCTTCACCTGGGAAGGGGCACATTACAGGGTCATTGAGAGGCAAAGAGAGAGGGTCCCTCCTGTGCCCACCCCACCATAACTTACCAGGGAGAGTGTCAAGGGGGGCTCTGCCTTTGCCCCAGGGGGCCTTTCCCCCCTCCCTAGGGGTGCAGCTTGGAGCAGGGGAGTGGAGCTCTGCCTGGGAATGTTCTTGGCTACACGGGGGCACTCTGTAGGGTCAGAAGGTCAACCCCAGGGTCAGCCACAGGAGGAAGCCTGGGCCACACTCCATGTGGGTGGCCAACAAAGGTCACACACCGTGCTCTGGGGGGTCGTGGCCCAGGCCACTCTGAGGCCTGGGTCTGGGGCCCTGCACAGGTGTCCCCGAAGACAGCTGAGGGTTGGCTCTGGGCTTGCACAGGTGTGCCTGGGATGGGGAGGCCCTGGGCTCCACCCCTGGGGTGACGCCCTCCAGGCCCTTCTCTCTTGAGGTGCAGTTGCTGCCTCCGCGCTCCAGGATCATCTGCGGGACAGGAGGGTGCTCAGAGGTCGAAGCCTGCCCACGGGGCGTTTGGGGGTCTCTGACATAGGAGGTGGCCTCCACGGCACGTGTAGACCAGGGATGACGGGGGTCATGAGCCGGAGCACCTGGTAGACGCGGCTGCGGTACTCAGGCACAGAGAGCTGGAGCCCTTCGTGCACCTGGAGCTGCACATCCTCTTTTCGTGCCCACTCATCGCTGGAGCAGTGGAATCTGCAGGGAGCCAGAGAGGTGGGGCCCAGGCTTCGGTCAAGCCAGCCCCTCAGGCTGTCATGGCAGGGCCCAGGCTTGGGGGCTCACCCTTGTGGGTAGGTATCTCTGGCCCCCACCCCCGCACCTGGGGGACTCTCCCACTCCCACCTTTGCAGGTAGGGGTGCTGCAGTGCCTGGGTTGCGCTTAACCGCTTGTCCGGGGCAAACACCAGGAGTCGCCTGAGGAGGTCCAAGGCCTCTGGGGAGGTGTCTGGCGGCAGGAGGGCATCCAGCGTCCGCCGTGGCCTGTGGGCTGCCGTGTGTTGTCTCCAGGGACCCACCCAAGAGCCCTCCTCAGATCCATGTTCATGGCTGGGGCTCGGCTCCCATACAGGGGGCCCACTCTGCTGTCCTCCTAGGTGGATGCCCCCATGCCTGACCTGCAGGCAGTCTGGGCCCTGCAGAGTGCAGAGACCCCTGCGGCCCCTTGGTGCCTTCCTCTCCACGCCCTGACACAGCTCCTCGGGGCCACCCTCTAGGAGTACCAGTGGCTCCTGCTCTCAGAGCAGCCGACAGTTGTTGGGTTTGGAAGCACCAGTTTGAAAACAGGCAGAATCTGCACTGGTACAAACTGGCCCCAGTAACCCTGCAGGAAGGTGGCCCTGCTCTCTCAAGACAAGCCATCCTCTGATCCTCACCAAAGTGCCCCCACTCACCGGGACCCCAGGTGGTGCAGCACAGAGGCACGGCAGCCTGAGCCGAGAGCCAGGAGGTCTGGGGCAGCAGAAGGTGGTGTGACCCAGGCAGGCCTGGCAGGCTGGGGCAGCTCAGGCATCTGGGGCCAGCCATCTCTTCCAACCCCGGGCAGCACAGCCTCGACAGGGTTTCCGCAGTCTGGCAAGGGCTCCAACACCCCATCACCAGGGCGTGCCCCCAGCCTGTGCTCAGAAGCACCCCACATGACCCCCCACTCCCACCTGCACCTGGCCCTGGGGAGTGCTCACACAGGTGGACACTGGCACCCACCTCCACGGACCAGGAGGCTCCACCCAGACAAGCAGATGCGCCTGGTGGTACAGCTCCCTCTTACCCCCACCCTGAAAGGGACCCCAGGGACCCCCTCCTACCACTGCCTTCCTCCACCTCTTCCCTCAGCACCCGAATCTCTCCTGCCAGCTTTCTGTGCACACCCCAGCTCCCAGCAGTGATGGTCCCTGCTCCTCAGCACCCAAATCTCTCCTGCCAGCTTTCTCTGTACACTGCAGCTCCCAGCACAGTGACAGTCCCTGTCCCTGCTACCCCAATCCCTTGGGGACCTTGTCCGGCCTGCCGGCCCCTTCATGGCCACTGCTGGGCTCTCATGGTGCCTATGCCAGGTGCTGCCTGCCCACATCTGCCCCGAGCAGCTCCTCCTGGGCCTCCATCACCAGTTGGTCTTCCTGGGGCTCCTGTCCTATCCTCTGGATCCTCCTTGTTGCTGTCGCCGTCCCTCCTCCTGGCACAGTCCTGGCCTGTCAGCTGCTGTCTCCCCACAGCTGTGTTGTCTAACCTGAAGTATCCCGGTGCCCAGCCCCAGCCGCCTGGCTCACCCTCCTCGGAGGGTGGTGGGATGGTCTCCAGGATCAGCTCCAGCTGGTGGAGGGTGGATGTGCCCGGGAACAGGGGCTTCCCCCGCAGCATCTCCGCCAGGATACAGCCCAGACTCCACATGTCCACCCCAAGGGTGTACCTGGGGCAGGAAGGGGTGTAGGCATGGAGGGACCTAGAGGCAGAGGTGGGGATGGAGTTGCTGGGAGGGTGAGTGAAAGAACACTCGTGGCCTGGGAGCTCTGGCTGGGCAGGAGGGCAGCCCCGGGGCCCCCTGCAAGGAGGTAGAGGGTGGGTTGGGGGTGTCTCACTGCTACCGGTGTGAAGACAGCAGCACCTCCGGAGCCCGGTACCAGCGTGTGGCCACATACTCTGTCAAGGCCTGGCCCTCAGGCCCCTCGGGGAGGTCTCTGAGGGAGCGGGCCAGGCCAAAGTCGCACAACTTCACCGTGCAGTTGGCATCCAGGAGCACATTGGACGGCTGCAGAGAGGAGGCAGGCTGAGGTCCTGGGGCTGGGTAGGGCCAGGTGGGGCTGGGAGCCGGACTCAGGCGCTGTGGGTGCCACACCTTCTGGTCCCGGTGCACGATGTGCCCCGAGTGGAGGAACCGGGTGGCCCGCAGGAGCTGGGAGAAGATGCAGCGCACGTGGACGTCCTGCAGCAGCCCGCCCTTCCGGATGACGGCGTTCAGGTCCGTCTCTGGGGAGAGGGTGCACGCTCCAGTCTGGGGGGTGGAGGTGGAGGGGGTGGGAGGGAGCACCCTGGGGGGGTGGGAGGGGACGCCCTGGGCGAGTGGGAGGAGGCAGCTGGGGGGGTGGGAGGGAGCACCTGGCAGGTCTCACTTTGAACCAGACCATGGCCTGCCTGCCCCGCTCCTCCATCCTGCGCACAGCCTGTGGGCACAGTGGTGGGGTCTGCAGCTGTGCCTATTTTATTTTTTTTATTTAAAAAATAAAATAAAATTTTAAAATTATTTTTATTATTAAATTCTTTTTTATTTTTTATTTTAAAATAAAAAGCATTTTATTTCCTATCGCTTTGTTTCATAAAATGAGAAGAAGAATGCAGCTGCAGACTGGTAGGAGCAGGAGCCTGGAGCGGGTGGGATGCAGGAGTTGCTGCTGGCTCTGGAGGCTGACACTGGCAGGTGTCTGTCCCTGAGTCCAGGGTACATGGTGAGGGAGCAAGCCACTGTGGGGCGGCCGCAGAGGGGTGCACAGAGGGCGTGAGGACAGGCCAGAGGTGGGGCCAGGGCGCTGGCCGAGGCCTCACTCACCCATGCACTCAAACACCAGGTAAATGTCCCTGTCGTTCTGTGCCCGGATCACGTCAAGGAGGCTGATGATGTTGGGATGCTCCCCAAACTCCTAGGGAGAGAGTCGGCGGCAGCCGGAAGGCCAGGGATTGCCTCTGGGGGCCAAGAAGCCCAGCTCCTCTCCTGTCTGGAGAGATCTGTTCCTGGGGAAGGGAATGGGCTGGAGGGCCCAGGCTACTCACCTGGAGGAGTGTGATTTCCCGGAATGTTCTCTGAAGAGACAGAAACACAGGTGTCTGGGTGGATGGAGCAAGAAGGAAGCCCGTGTCCTGACAGGACCCAAAGGAGCTGATGTCCATCACCCAACGCCCACCAGACCAGGTGTGGAAGAGGGGGCAGTGTTCCGAGACAAGCCATAACATCTGCTGTGACCGGCTCCCAGCTCCCACCTGATTCCAGGCACCAGGGCAAGGGGCTGCTGCTCCCAGCCTCCACCCTGTCCCACACTTCTCCCCACACACTCACCTGGGCATCTGTCTTATCCCTAAAAGCATCAAAGATCTTCTTGATGGCCACGACCTCACCTGTTCTCCGGTCCACTGCCTTCCACACAATGCCATAGGCCTGGGAAGGAGTGCCATAACACAGGGCCAGCCCCTTGCCCCACCATCCCCTGCCCCACCATCCCCTGCCCCTCCCCCCCAGACTGCCCCTGCACACATGAGGCTCCTCCTTCCCATTCTGGGTCCCCAGAGGGGATGGGAGTGTGCGCTCCACAACTGCAGGCCACCCTAGACTCTGACATCTTCCAGAGTAGGGGAGGCAGAGGGGAGGGTGAGAGCTGGTGAGGCCCTGGAGGAAAGGAGGCCACAGAAGGGAGCATCTGGGCAGGAGATGAAGCTGGGGAATGCCCTACCATCCTTCCAGCTGCCCAGGCACTCTCCCTCCCTCTCTCTCACACCCATCCAGCCCCAAATCCCGTTGGGCCCATCTTCAGATTCCTCCAGAATCTAGCCCCTGCCACCATCCCTGCCCCCACCCTGGTCCCAGTCTCTGGCATCTCTCATTGGGTGGCTGCATTCACCACTTAAGGAATCTCTGTCTGCCACTCCCTTGCATGACAACAGTGGGTTCTCAACACAGGGGGCAGGGTAGGCCTTATAAAGTGACACCAGCAGCTGCTCCTGCTCCTGCCGTCAGCAACAGTGAAAACCAAAGTCCTGGAAATTCCCGAAGCCTCCACACGTTTGGACCTCTCACCACTCATCTCTCCATCTCTTACCCAGTTGCACACAAGCCTGCATTGGGCCTGAGCACTTGCTGTCTGCACTGCCCGGAAGGATCTTCCTCCCGCTCCCCATGGCACTCTCCCCACACACACAGGCTTACCTGCTCACTCAGGCTCACAGATACACTTGGCTCCGGCCTTCACTCTGAACCCACCCTATACCTGCTCAGGCCCTTCTTGGGCCTCGCCCCTGTGCTCCTGAGCCTGGGGCCTGCCCTCCCTCTCAGTGACTGAGGCACGGGCCCAGCCTCCCCAGAGCATCCTGTGCACCCAGAAAGCAGGCGACTGTGGGCACATGGGAAGTGGGGCACCAGGATCCCTCTGCTTGAGGCTGCTGGGGGGGCCTGGCTGTCACCTGCCTCCAGGAGCCGGGATCCTGGGAGTCATGGTCGCGTTACCCCCTGAGGAAACTGAGGCACGAAGGGGCTCCAAACCACCCCTCCGCCTAAGGAGGAGGTAGGACGCCAGTGTGTGATGGAACAGGCCTCGGAGGGGACCAACCATCCCGCTCAGGTATTCTCTCCGTAGGGGCGCCCCTCGTAGGGCAAGCGCGCGTCCCCGGGCACTCACCCCCTTCCCAAGCCGCCGCCTGAGCAGGTATCGCCGGGCAACACGAGGGTCCACTGGGGCGCACATAGCGGCCAGGACACCCCCGGGCCGTACTGTTGAGTCGTACTGTTGCCGTGGGAACCGATGGACGCCGGCCCGCCCCATCCCTCTGTGTGCCCCGCCCACCTCCTAGCAGGCCCCGGCCCGCCCCTTGGCATGCCCCGCCCACCCACCCCCCTGCAAGCCCCGGCTCCTCCCCACCGTGCGCCCCTACCCCCCCACGCCCACATCCCCCAACTCCCCCCCCCCGCCACCGCCCCATAGTGCACGCCGCCTGCCTCCCCACAGACCCCGGCCCCGCCCCAAGATGCGTCCCGCCCAGCCACCCCCGGGCAGGCCCTGGCCCCGCCCCTTGGTGCTCCCCGCCCACCTCCCCCGCAGGCCCCGGCCCCGCCCCTCAGTGACCTCCGCCCACCTCCCCCGCAGGCCCCGGCCCCGCCCCTCAGTGACCCTCGCCCACCTCCCACACAGGCTCCGGCTCCGCCCCACAGTGCACCCGGCCCACCTCCTCGCAGAACCACGCCCAGCCCAGTTGGCTAAAGGAGAAATAATGACAATGACACCAATAGCAAAAAGGAAAAGGGGATAATGGAAATATATATTTATACTATTACAAAAATAACGTGAGAATATATATTGTAAGGGTCTTACGTTATATATGCAATATTAATAGTATAATATTATTTGGGCCGGGCGCGGTGGCTCACGCCTGTAATCCCAACACTTTGGGAGTCCCAGCTACTTGGGAGGCTGAGGCAGGAGAATCGCTTTGAACCTGGAAGGTGGAGGTTGCAGTGAGTCGAGATCACGCCACTGCACTCCAGCCTGGCAACAGAGCGAGACTTTCAGAGAAAAAGGAAAGAAAGAAAGAGAGAGAGAGAAAGAAAAAAAGAAAAAGAAAGAGAGCAAGCCGGGCGCAGTGGCTCACGCCTGTAATCCCAGCACTTTGGGAAGCTGAGGTGGACTGATCACCTCAGATCAGGAGTTCAAGACCAGCCTAGTCAACATGGTGAAACCCTGTCTCTATTAAAAAATACAGAAAATTAGCCGGGTATGGTGGCAGGCACCTGTAATCCCAGCTACTGGGAAGGCTGAGGCAGAAGAATCACTTGAAACCAGGAGGTGGCGGTTGCAGTGAGCCGAGATTGCACCAATGCACTCCAGTCTGGGTGACAGAGCGAGACTCCATCTCAAAAAAAAAAAAAAAAGAAAACAAATAGTAAGATGGCCAACTTAAAAATTTACCATTTAAACTGTTACATTATACATAAATGATATAAATACTTCAATTAAAAGGCAGAGAGTATTAGGACCTTATTTTAAAAAATTAAAATACACAAATTTGCCTTAATTATATAAAATTATGTTACAAAAATATCATGTTGATAAAATTATAGGCCAGGCACAGTGGCTCATACCTGTAATCCCAGCAGTTTGGGAGGCTCAGGCAGCTGAATCACTTGAGGTCAAGAGTTTGAGACCAGCCAGCCCAACATGGCAAAACCCTGCCTCTCCTAAAAATATAAAAATTAGCCGGGCATAGTGTCATCTGCCTGTAATCTCAGCTACTTGGGAGGTTGAGGGAGAAGAATCATTTGAACCCGGGAGGTGGAGGTTGTAGTGAGCTGAGATGGCACCACTGCACTCCAACCTGGGCAACAGGAGCAAAACTCCTTCTCAAACAAAAAAATTATAAACATAATACATATATCAGTCACATGTTATGCAACTATGCAGGAAATACACCTTATTATTATCACTATTAATTTTTTGAGACAGGGTCTAGGTCTGTTACCCAGGCTGGAGTGCAGTGGTGTGATCTCAGCTCATTGCAACCTCTGCCTCCTGGGCTCAAATGATCTTCCCACTTCAGCCTCTTGAGTAGCTGGTACTACAGGTGCAGGCCACCATCTTCAGCTAATTTTTAATTTTTTGTAGAGTCCGGGCATGGTGGCTCATGCCTGTAATCCCAGAACTTTGAGAGGCTGAGGTGGATGAATCACTTCAGATCATGAGTTTGAGACCAGCCTGGACAACATGGCGAAAACCTGTCTCTACCAAAAATACAAAAATTACCTGGGTGTGGTGATGAGCACCTGTAATTCTAGCTACTTAAGATGCTGAGGCATGAAAACTGCTTGAAACCGGGAGGTGGAGGTTACAGTGAATCGAGATTGTGCCACTGCACTCTAGCCGGGGCGATACAGCGAGACTCTATGTAAAAAAAAAGAATTTTTGTAGGACATGGTTTTCTATATTGCTCAGGCAGTAAAGCACTTTAACTATAAAGACATAGTTAAAAGGATGGAAAAATATATACTATGCAAACACTAGTCAAGAGAAAGCTTTAGTAGTTATATTAATATCTGACATAGGTGCCAGGGCATGGGATATTATCAGAGATAAAGAATAGTTTGTTAGAATAAAAGTTTCAGTTATCAAGAAGATACTATAATTCCAAGAGTGTGTGCACCTGATAACAAAGCCTTAAGATATATATAAAGCAAGCCTGACATAACTGAAGGAGAAACAATCAAACCCACAGTTATAGGTGGAGACTTTAACACTCCTCTGCCAGTAATTGCTACAACAGGTAAGCAGAAAATAAAGATGCAGTGGACCTGAGCAATATCATAACCCAGGGTGACCACTGGCACCCTGAAGATGAGGCATCCACTGATGGTGGACACCTTCTTTTCAAGTGTGTATGAAACATTCACCAAGATAAACCATATTCAATGGTTTATCATAAAACAATGGTACCATAAAACAAAGCTTAACAAATGTAAGATAATTAAAATCTGGGCCAGGCTCAGTGGCTCACACCTATAATCCCAGCACTTTGGGAGGCTGAAGTGGGCAGATCACAAGGTCAAGAGTTCGAGACCAGCCTGGCTAACATGGTGAAACCTCGTCTATATGAAGAATAGAAAAATTAGCCAGGCATGGTGGTGCGAGCCTGTAATCCCACCTGCACAGCAGGCTGAGGCAGGAGAATCACTTGAACCTGGGAGGTGGAGGTAGCAGTGAGCCGAGATCGTGCCACTGCACTCCAGCCTGGGTGACAGAGCAAGACTCTGTCTCAAAGAAAAAAAAAAAAAGAATTGAAATAATATAAATCATGTTCTCTGATCCCACAAAATTGGATTCGAAATAAATAATAGAAAGACATTTAGAAAATCCCCAAAGATTTTAAGATTAAGCAACACACTTCCAAATAAACAATAAGTCAAAGAAATCATCAGGTAAACTAAAAACTATCTTGTACTGAAAGATAACATCATAATGTATCAGAACACGGGGCCTGCCCCCAAAGCCAGGCTTGGAAGGCAATTGACAGTGCTCAATACAGGAAATGCCCATGGACAGCAGGAGCCTCCATCATAGAACTGATGGAGAAGAGCCAGTTCTGAAGGGACTGCAGGGCAGCTCAGGTTGGCTGGGATGCAGCTGCCAGGGGCAGGAAGGAAGCCCAGCTGGCCCCCAACACCAACAGTGGTGAGGACTGGCGGGCCAATGCCCCCATTCTTCACCTTCCCTGAGGAACCCCAAGAGAGAAGTCCTGACCCTGACATTCTGCCCCTGAGAATGGGACTCATAAGTAGAATTATACCAACACAAGTGAATTTTTAGCAAACAAGAACTTTTTTTTTTTTTTTTTGAGACAGAGTCTAGCTCTGTCGCCCAGGTTGGAGTACAGTGGCCTGATCTCGGCTCCCTGCAACCTTCACCTCCCAGGTTAAAGCAATTCTCCTGCCTCAGCCTCCAGAGCAGCTGGGACTACAGGGGCAAGCCACCACGCCCAGCTAAGTTTTTGTATTTTTAGTAGAGACGGGGTTTTACCATATTGGCCAGGCTGGTCTTGAACTCCTGACCTCGTGATCCACCCACCTTGGCCTCCCAAAGTACTGGGATAACAGGTGTGAGCCACCTCACCCGGTGCAGGAAAAAATTCTTTAGCATGAACTTCAGTACACTGAATTATAAAATCAGTTTTCTATTTGGCAAAATTAAACCATTTCCAACTTTTTCTGTTTCCCTTTTTCATTTTACTGCAGTTATTTTCACCTGGGTTTATACTTTGCCAGATAGACTTTCCAGCAGACATTTGATTTGTCCATTAGTTGGGTGGGGGGTGTTGTTGTTCATTGAGACAGTCTGGCTGTATTGCCCAGGCTAGAGTGCAGTGGTGCAATCCTGGCTCACTGCTGACCCCAGGTGATCTGCCCACCTTGGCCTCCCAAAGTGCTGGGATTACAGGCATGAGCCACTGTGCTCAGTCTACTTGGATTTTTTAAATCTGTTATTGTGTAGTTTCTGTTGGGACCACTATTTCTACCAAATCCAACTTTCCCTTGTACAGATATTCTTGCCTATATAAATTTTGTCAATAGTTTTATTATTAAATCACAATAAGTTTTTATTTACTTATTGACACGGAGTCCTGCTTTGTCACCCAGGCTGGAGTGCAATGGCGTGATCTCAGCTCACTGCAACCTCTGCCTCCCAGGTTCAAGCATTTTCCTGCCTCAGCCTCCCAGGGAGCTGGAATTACAGGCACTCACCACCACACCCTGCTAAATTTTGTTGAGACGGGGTTTTACCATGTTGGCCAGGCTGGTCTCGAACTTCTGACCTCATGTGATCCACCTGCCTTGGCCTCCCAAAGTGCTGGATTACAGGCGTGAGCCATCATGCCTGGCCTAAGTCACAGTAAGTTTTGTTGCACACAGTTCTAACTTTCAGCTTTATTTTGGGTGCATTATTGACCTGGACCTTGTATTGAATTTTTAACCACTCCATGGGGAAATCATGGGTGAGGTCTGGGGAAAGTCATCATCCAGGAGGCCCAGAGTCACAGGATGGGGTCCGGATCACAGACCCCGGTGAAACAGTGTGTCTGGAGCCTCCTGTAATCCAGGAAACTAAACTCCCTTGTCTCCCAGCTCCCAGCTGTCACAGTTCCCATGCACGGACCCCACCCTCTCCCAGGAGGGCACTGTTGTGTGCCGTTGTGTGGGCCAAGACCCTACCTTATCTCTGAGTATCACAGTCTGAGAGGGTATCCCCGCCCTGTCCCCTCCTGCGTCACAGCCACGGCCCACCACCCATCCCATCTCATGCACAGCCTCTCCCTGGTGGATTCCAAAATGGCCCTCCCCTCTCTCCACCTCCGGGTGTGGGCTATAGACCCAGGTAGCCCAGGTGATCCACGCTGGTCACTCCAGTCACTTACTTGAAACCCTCTGTGGGGACATATGCCAGTTGTGGACATGGTTGTGTCTGACATCATACATTTGGAGGCACAGACTCAGAAATGAGGGTCCCCAAGGAGGCATATCCCTGGCTGGGCACCCTGATGGCTGCATCAGGGGTGTCTCTGGAGCTGAGTGAAGGTGTCATCATCAAAGACTGTGTAGGGGCTCCAAATCCTGGGCACCCTCCTTTTGGTCTCTTCCTCAGAGCAGGTGACCCCCCCCATGAAGGACCACCTGGACCACACCCCAGTCCCCTACTGGCCTGGGCAGGGACCATCAGGAATGACCTGGCTGGGGCCTCGTGCTCACACCTGGAGAGGTGCTGTGGACAGGCAGAGGGCAACTGTGACTGTGGGAGCTGATGCACGTCACGGTCTTGGACTGGAGTTTCCATCGGGGTCTGGCCGAGGGACTTGTGTAGATCTGGCATGGGTTCTGAGTTACCTGGTCATGGGAGCAGGGTCTTTGCCTCAAACACCCTTGCCTACGCCAGCCCCAGTGGGTGGGTATGGTAAGGCCTGCCAGGGATATGGGGCAGAGGACAGGCTTGGGTTGTGTCCAGGGCACAGAAACGAACAGGACTGGGGCCCCAGCGCCTGACCCCAACTACAGCCCATCATTCCCCTTTCCCCCTTGGCCGTCACCACCAGCTCTAAGCTGCTGCACGAGGGGCAGGGTGCACAAGGTGGAGCTGCCCATGGGTCCTGGGCTCCCATGTGGGCTCAGCCCACCCTCAACTCCACAGGTGGAGCTGGCCTTACCAAGTGGGTGGGCAGCCTTGGCGCACAGAGGGGTCACAGCACTAGCCATGTGCTGGTCCCAGGGCACAGGGCAGCTTGGGGGACTCCCCTACAGGGAGTGAAGTGGGAGTCCATCAAGGTCCTAGTAACAGCCCCAGTGCTCCCAGGGGGCTTTGGACAACTCACCTTGCCTTGATTTCTCCATCTGTCAAATGGGAACAGAGGCTGCTGGGAGAGCTCAGCAAGGGCCAGGCACACAGCCCCACCCCTGCGGCTGTGCTCAGCGGGGGGCTCACCCCGGCTCAGGAAGTGAGTTGGGCAGGTCCTCACAGGGAGCAGACAGCACCTTCTTCCAGGGCCTTTCCAGCTTGCCAGCCTGTTTCTGAGGGGGGTGTGATTGCGGGTCCTGGGGGGACAAAGACCAGCACCCCACTTGCAGATGGGGCTGGGAAGGCCCCCAAGGGTGGGACGTGTGTCACAGGAAGTGAATTCTGTCTCCATGTACAGTGCAGGACCTCTGCCTATTGCTGCCTCAGTTTCTCAAACTGTCAAATGGGGACAGTGACCTCCTACTGTTGTGAACTGAACACGAGCCCGGGAATCTCATCCAGTGAGAGGGTCCCAAACCTGGAAGAGAGCGTGCCGAAAAAAAGGAGAAAGAAAAGAGCGAGGTCTGGAGGACTACACGAGCTATGCCCATGCAGCAATTTTATTTTTGAAGGAAGTTCCATTATATACTTTTCTGCTTAATGTTGTTTACCTCAGATCAAAATACTTAAGTCACGAGGTAGGCAAGTTAAGCCCACTAAGTAAGTTACGCCCAGTAAGTAAGTTACGCCCAGTAACAATTGTAAATACTGAAGTTAATATTTTACGAATGTAGGAAGGATCCAAAATGAATACAATGAAGCAATAAACCATAAGGAACCAAAAGTGGACACAACGCCTCCCAAGCCCTCATATCCATAAAGTAATGTCTGTTAATTATTTTGAATAGCATAGTCCCTCTCTCGGTTCCTGCTTTCCCTCAGCTCGACTCCCCCAACCGGGGATCTGTGTCTGGGCTCAAGCTCACCGTATGGCGAGGCCCATTTCCTAGGGGCCTCACACGGGAGCGATCCCCACAGATCTCCCTCATCCTACAAGGCCTGAGGGCATCAGGGTGGAGAGCACTGGGGTAGGGCCATGGCAAGGAACCAGAGGCCCCGCTGTGGATAAGGGTCCCTGCACATGAGCCTGTGCCTTACCCACTGCACATGAGTCCCTACTGCCGGGATGCAGGTGATATTTTTCTCATGATTCTATGTGGTCTTTTCCCAATTTTCTGTGAGAGGAGAGGCACCATTTTCCTATTAAAAGCCCATATATTAAAGCCAACATTCAGATGCAGTTTAGGAGTTTATAAGTCAATGTCCCCTTACAATGTTAATGCTAAATAGACTGACTTGTTTGGTAGTTTGCGTCCTCTTACTTTTACTTACAAAATACATTTTTTTATAAGGAGTAAAATGCTTCAATCATGTTGGTAATTTTAAAAGGCCCTGCTGCACCTTTCAGGCAGGTTAGCTGATCAGAGCCAGCCCTGCCATGTCTGTGAGCCACCAGGGTTCTAGAACTGACTTCCTAAGTCTCCACCCCACCATGTCTGTGAGACACCAGGGTTCTAGAAGCGACTTCCTGAGATGGTCTCCACCACAAACCTCTGTGCAAATGTGTTCTGACAAGGCTACAAGTCCAGGATCCTCAGATCTGCCCACATCCCAGCAGATGTGGACAAACGGAGCAGAAACTCAAATCTATGATGTCAGGACACAAAATAGGGGTACATTTATGTTATGTGTCAAAGGATGCTGAATGCACCTGTTCCTGAGGCACCTAACAGGATGGGAGCTGGGGAGCACTGGTGTAGATGGAGGCAGATCCTACAGGACCAACAGGTTGAAATGCCTGCTGTGCAGTAATGACCAATACATTGGGACAGCAGAGTCTGCAGCAGAGAAACAGTGTAATGATCCCTGGGCACCGAGCAAGGAGATGGGAGGGGCCTTCCAATCTGTCTCCCTGAGTTCTGGGCTGGGGTTTTTAAGGGGATTGTGGAGGGTCAGGAGCTGTAAAATGGGGTCATCAGTTGGGCAGGAAAAAAGAATGAAGCCATCAGCATGTGGACCCTGCATTATTTGGTGCATCAGCTCCTCATGGGGATGCTTCAGACCAGCTGGGTCCGTCGTGTCATGGGTATTCAGGACCTGTCAAATAGAAAAATCACATTTTACAATGTTTAGTTGTCATCTATAGAGCAGTTATGGGGAACGCTAATCTTGTGACAGGGTCTGTGTGATTCTAGGGCCACAGGCACCAAACAGCTCTGAGGAAGGGGTTGGGAGGTGGGTGGCCTCATGATGAACACTGAGTGAGCTTTCCTTCCTCCCCTCCCTTCCATGATTAATTAAAAATTTATAGGGATGGCTTCAATAATAATGATGTATCCCAAAGTTAACAGAAAAAAAGAAAGTGCCAAGTCCCTGGTGGATCCCTGTGCCCTCCAGCCATCCGGGCACAAGGCAAAGGGAAGCTACCCAGCTGCAGAGCCAGGGATGAGCTGAGCGGGTGCCGCACTCATGGGCTTAGGAACTTGAGAGACAAAAGCTCTCCAGCATCCCAATGGACTCCACACTTCAGGAACCCCAGTTCCCACGGGGGCCTCATGGAAGGAATCACGAAATGCTCAAGGAAAGCAAGGACCCCTGGAGAGGCCAATGGTCCAGGGAAGCGCTCCCTCCTGACAACACAGAGATTTCACTCCGGAAAGGCGGAAAGGTGGGGGATGTGGTGAAGCTCTGCCTCTCAGGGGCAACCCGGGAGACCGCCCAATGCTGGACCAAAGGCAAAGGGCGCTGCTGGAGTCTGTGAGACTCAGAAGCACTTCGAAGTCTGCCTGAAGCCCAGTCTTGTCAGCTCAGGCCTATCTCGAGGGAGTTGTGTGGAACGAAGGAGTTGGCCATCGCCAAGTAACGGGGTGGGGGTGGGAGAGGACGACTAGGTTCTGTCTCCATAGAGACCATGGCCTCCGAGCAACAACATGACCAATGTTGGGCGAACCCCGACGGACAGCGAAGGCCCAGAGGGAGTCCCCGAGTGAAGGCTGGCAAAGTTGCCCTGACCCCCGAGCCCCAAAGCCCCGATCTGCCTCCCCCAAAGCCTCGTGACCCGGAGACGCTCCCCACCTCTGGGCCTGGGGCCTAGAATATTCAGGGAGGAGAAGAGGAAGGGCTAAGCTGAAGGAGGGGCCAGGGTCCCTGCTCTCACGAGTCCTGGAGGTCCAGGCACCAACCCATGGCACCCAAGAAAAAGCGCGGGCTGAGCGCGGGGAGCCAGCTAGGTGGTGCGGGTACCGAGCAGCCGCTGTCGGAGCGCGCGCGATACCTGCAGCGCGAATACGCGCTGCTTTCGGAGCAGCTGGAGGCCTGCGAGGACCGCGTGGACCAGGTGCTGCAGGAGAACGCCTTCCTGGACCGCGAGGCGCTGCGCCTGCGCGAGGAGAACCGGCTCTACGCCAGCTACGTGAGCGCGCGCGCCCAGCGCTGCGCCAACGCCATCGTCCGGCTGGACGAGCAGAACCGCGTGGACCTGGCGCAGATCCACTGGCAGCGGGCGGAACTGGCCTCGCTCTACCACGGGCGCGAGGACAGGGTGCGTGCGCAGCTGCTGGAGATGGAGGCGCGCGCGGCGCAGATGGCGCGGCAGGTGCAGGAACTGCAGCCCTACAAGGCCAGTACGCGGGCCCGCGGCCATGATGCGGCGGGGCTGGGCGGGCGTTCGGGCGGGGGGCGGGGAAGGGGGAGGGTGGACTGACGGCGCCCCCGCCGCAGGTGCTGCAGCTGGAGCAGCTGGCCCGGATCCGCGCGCTGGAGCGCGAGCTGCTGCGTATGCGCGTGGAGCACACGCAGATGCTCCACCGCGTGAAGCGGCGCTTCCTGGAGGACAAGGCGGCTTTCGAGCGCGAGGCGCGTCAGCGAATGCAGTCCCTGGTGCGGCGCGCGGAGCGGGAGGCGGCGCGCTCGCTTGTTGTGCACACTCAGGCCATGAAGGCCGACAACTGGCGCCTGCGCCAGGAGCTGCTGCGGCTGCTCCACCGGACCCAGCTGCTGCACGACACGCGGCGCCAGCTGTTGGAACAGCGTGAGCAGCTGCGCCGCGAGCACGAGGACACGCGGGACCTGGCGCGTGTGCACAGCTGGCTGCCCAGGGGCCCCGGAGGCCCGCCGCTGTGGCAGCCGCCGGCCTCCTCCCAGCCCACCTCGCGCCCCTGTTCATCAGCCGCCCCCATAGACCCATCGGACACCGCCTCCCAGACCCAGTCCTTGGTCCCGTCGCGCGCGGCCTCCCGGGCCCCGTCCATGGTCCCGTCGCGCGCAGCCTCCCGGGCCCCGTCCGTGGTCCCGTCGCGCGCGGCTTCCCGGGCCCCGTCCGTGGTCCCGTCGCGCGCGGCCTCCCGAGTCCCCTCATTGGTGTCATCGAGCATGGGCTCCAGGGTCCCATCGCTGGCCGCTTCAAAGCTGGGCTCCCGGATCCCATCCCTGACCGCGTCGCACGCAGGCTCCCGGATCCTGTCGCTGGCGCGGTCACTCGAGGGCTGTCGGATCTCTTTGCGGTCCTCATTACAGGTGTCCTTGCAGGACGCTCCCCGATCTACGAAGGGTAGTCCCAAGCTTGGCTTCAGCCTGACATGGGATCGGGATCCCGCCCTTCCCCAACCACAGTCGGAGGAGAGCGTGGTAGCTGACGCTGCGGCAGAAGCCTCCTCCGGGAGAGCCTGAACCTGCAGGGAGGGAGGCCCGGGAGGCCCTGGTGTGGGCGACCCTCGTGCGTAGGCCGCTTACTGGGATAATGCAGTCGTCAATAAAAGTGTGGCCACAGACCGCTCTGACACCCACAGGCGTCCTCTAGCACTTCCCGCTAGCACCGGAGCCGCTCATTGGTGCGTCCAATTTCCAAGCTGCAAGGGAACTCAGCGCCTGCTTTCTCTGAGTGACCTCTGGGACCCCGCGTCCCCGCCCTCAGTGGGCCCCCACCGCGAGCCGGCAGGCACAGAGCAAGCCCGGGCACCCGCGGGCACGGCCGGGCGATGAAGCAGCAGCTGGCAGCACGGGGAGGCCCAGGAGGAGCGTGGGCTTCGTTCTCCTGCGCCAAGGGGAGAGAAGGAATGTTCAACCTAATTGCTTTTTAAATAACTTAAAAACTTTGATACATACCTTCCAACTTAGAGAAAGTTGCAAGAATAGCACAGGGACCGCCATGGACCCTTTATCCGGATGCCCGGCCACGACGCTGCCCGTAAATTTGGTCTGTGTGAATCCCTGTGAGTGCGCGTTGCTCCGGAAGCGTCTGAGATGTGGTGGGAGGCGCTGGCCCCATGGCCCTAAGTGCTTTCATGTGTATTTCCTGAACAGAGGGATGTTCTCCGACGCCGCAGTAGCGATCAGAACCAGGACACCGACTGCGGAGGAATAGCCCCATCACACATCACAGCTGTGTTACCTGTCCCGTGTTTTTGTAGCTGGCCCCATCTTCCAGGGTCACGTGTTGCATTTAGTTGTTGCGTCTGGATGAGTACAGGCGGTTATTAAAACGCGCCTCCTTGGAGGGTCAGCCCTCCGGGCTGCGTGGGAGGCCCTCCCGGCTCGTGTTGGAGCCGATCGTGGACGTGACGCGGCCAGCGAGTGCCTGCGGCTACAGCGGCGCCACGCTTCCGGTCGGGGCGGCACGGTTTCCGGGTGTGTGTGTGTGTGTGTGTGTGTGTGTGTTGGTGATGGCCTTCCTTGCCCTTTGTCCCGGGGGCTGGCTCCTGTGCAAGCCTGTGGCAGTGAGTCCTGGCTTTCCTCTTCCTGGGGCCCTGAGCTCCTTTGTTGAGGTCTCAAGCGGGTATCTCCAGTTTCCCCCAGCACCTCCCAGGACCTTGAGGACCCCCAGGGACCAGGGTGGTCCCACCTCAGCCAACTCTGTCCCCTTACGAGGAGTTGCCGACACTGGGGCTCTGTGACCCAGGCGGGTGCAGCTACTGCGAGGCTGGGAGCTTCCCCGGCTTACAGGGCACCTGTACACTGACCCGGACCGCAGGGTCCGCCTCGCTGGGTTGTCCCTGTGTGTGAAGCGAGGGCGTCTGGCCCTGAGGCAGGGACTGTGTTGGGAAGGGGCACCGCTGGGCCCTGGGAAACGTAAAGGGAGCCCACCCACTGGGCCAGTCTGGAAGGTTGGTTCTTTGTGACTAAAGATCCAAACGTTAAAGTGAAACAGCTGGTAAATCAGTAAATCCAGGACACTGACACCAGCAGAGGCTGCCGAGGATGAGCACGATGGTGGCTCTGTTCACTGCTGGTGGGAAGGCAAAAAGGCACAGCTACTGGGGAAGGCAGGTTGGCAGGTGCCAAACATACCCTCACCTACCATCCATGATAGTGCTCCATGGTATTCACCCAAAGGAGTTGAACATTTGTGTCCACCTGGAAACCCACACATGGAATTAGCCGGGTGTGGTGGCACACATCTGCAATCCCAGCTACTAGGGAGGCTGAAGCACAAGAATTACTTGAAGCCAGGAAGCAGAGGTTGCAGTGAGCCGAGATCCACCACTACACTCCAGCCTGGGCAACAGAGCAAGACTCTATCTCCAAAAAAACAAACAAAACTCACACATGGATGTTTACAGAAGCTTTATTAATAATGGCCAAAACTCATGCAGCCAGGATGCCCTTCAGTAGGAGAATGGATAAACTCTGGTCCATCCAGACAAGGGAATATTATTCAGCCCTGAAAAAAAACAAGCTGTCAAGCCATAAAAAGACACAGAGAAAACTTAGGTGCACATTGCTAAGTGAGAGACGCTCGTCTGAAAAGGCAGCACGCTGTACGATTCCAACTGTGACATTCTGGAAAAGGCATAACTGTGGGAACAATACAAGGATCAGTGGCTGCTGGGGGTTGGGGAAGGATAGGGTGAAAAGGTGAAGCATGGAGGATTTTTAAGGCAGCGAAACTACCCCATAAAATACTACAATTGTGCAGTTGTACAAAAACGTGGTTTTTCCAAACCATGGGATGTCCAACACCAAGAATGAAGCCCTAATGTGAACTGGAAGCTTTAGTTAAAAGTCACATATCAATATTTCTTATCAGTCACAGAAGATGACCCACACTAAGGAAAGATGTTAATAATAGGGGAAAGTGGCCCGTCGCAGTGGCTCCCACCTGCAATCCCAGCACTTTGGGAGGCCAAGGCGGGTGGATCACCTGAGGTCAGGAGTTAGAGACCATCCTGGCCAACACAGTGAAACCCCGTCTCTACTAAAAATACAAAAATTAGTTGGGCATGGTGGCAGGTGCCTGTAATCCCAGCTACTCGGGTGGCTGAGGCAGGAGAATCACTTGAACCTAGGAGGCAAAGTTTGCAGTGAGCCAAGATCATGCCACTGCATTTCAGCCTGGGTGACAGAGTGAGACTCCATCTCAATACAATAATAATAATAATAGGGAAAGTGCCTATGAAGGGGTATCATGGGATCTCTGTACTCTATGATCAATTTTTCAGTAAACCTAAAACTGCTCTAAAGATATAAAGTCTGTTACCTTCTTATAACAGTGAAAATATTAAGTATTGGAAGCAAATCTGAAAATAATTTGACGACGTGAAAGCATTTTTTAAAAAAGAAAATCCAAGCCTAGGCATGGTGGCTCACACCTGTAATCCCAGCACTTTGGGAGGCTGAAGAGGGTAGATTACTTGAGTCCAGGAGTTCAAGATCAGCCTGGCCAACATGGTGGAACCCCATCTCTTAAAAAAAAGATACAAAAAAGTTAGTTGACCATGTTGGCACATGCCTGTAATCCCAGCTGTAATTGGGAGGCTGAGACAGAATTGTTTGAACCCACGAGGTGGAGATTGCAGTGATCCAAGATTGCACCATTGTATTCCAGCCTGGGTGACAAAGCAAGACTTTGTCTCAAAAAAAGAAAGAAAGAAAAGAAAACTCAGAGGCATAAAAGATTTTCTGTGGGCTGGGCATGGTGGCTCACTACCTGTAATCCCAGCACTTTGGGAGGTCACAAGGTCAAGAGATTGAGATCATCCTGGCCAAAATGGTAAAACCCCATCTCTACTAAAAATACAAAAATTAGCTGGACGTGGTGGCACATGCCTGTAATCCCAGCTACTTGGGAGGCTGAGGCAAGAGAATCACTTGAACCTGGGAGGCAGAGGTTGCAGTGAGCCAAGATCACACCACTGCACTCCAGCCTGGTGACAGAGCAAGACTCTGTCTCAGGAAAAAAAAAAAAAAAGATTTGCCGGGTATGGTGGCTCATGCCTGTAATCCTAGCACTTTGGGAGGCCAAGGTGGGTGGATCACCTGAGGTCAGGAGTTCAGCCTGGCCATCATGGTGAAACCCCATCTTTAAAAAAGAAAAAAAAAAGATTTTCTGTGAAGACAGGACTTATGGTAAACTACACCGTAAATTGGAAGACAAATGGCAATCTTGGAAAAAATATTTACAACAAATAAAACAGAAAAAGGATAACTCTTTATAAGGAGCTGTTAGAGACTGAATGCTTGTTCCCAGGCAAGGAAAAATTAGCATTCAGACAAAAAGTTTTCTCAGCAAGGCAATTTCACTTTCTGCCGAAAGGGTGCTCCCGTTAGCCATCTTGCCACAAGAGTACAATGAACACAGGAAAGGCAGCATTGGCTCCTCACTGCTGTGTCCAATCTTGGTTGGTTGGAACCAGACCTCCCAATCTAAACTGAACCTGATTGGCTAACAACTTAAAAACTTTTCTAAATATGTAAAAGCAGTGGAGAGCTGGGACATGCCTGTGAGCACCTCCAGCACAGGGATCTTGGTTAAAGTATAAGGACATAGAATGTGCTACGTGCCTGTAAACACGGCATGTCTAACAGCTACATAGGATAGAGCTTAGCAGAGAGCTACTAGCAAAAAGCAAGACAGCTTTGAAGAAAGTTAGCCTTTAAAACAAACTATTATTTCTAACATTTATTATTATTATTCCTTAACAAGAAAGGAGCTTTGAAGAGGAACTTTTGCTTTCTACAGAGCTATAAGAAAAGACCCAACAACCAGCCAGAAAAAGCAGGCAAATGACTTGAACGCCAACGAAGTACAAATGCTGAAGCATGTCTGAAGAGAGCCATGCTGCCCTAGGAGCCAGGGAGGGGCAGGTTGAGGCCATGCCAGGAAGACCCAGAGCAAGGGGCAGTGGAGGGCACCCCATCATTGCAGGGCCTGGGAGTGTGGAACAGTCCCATCGTTGTTGGCTGCCTGCTGCTATTCAATCTAAAACAGCCCTACTCTCAGACTCAGCAGATCGACCTCTGGGAGTCCATTCCGCACCTTTGCTGTGGGTTGCTTGAGTCTCCTGAAATATATACATTCAAGCCCTAACCCCAGCACTTCAGAGCATGACTGTATTTGGAGAGGAGGTTGTTGCAGATGTGATTAGCTGAGGTCGTTAGGGTAGGCCCTAATCCATTGTAACTGGCGTCACATGAAGACAGACACAGGGAGAACACGTGTGCCAACAGAGGCAGAGATCGGAGTGACTGTCTCTAAACCAAGAACTGCCAGGAGCTCCCAGCAACACTGAAAACTGAAGAAGCAAGGGAGGCTCCTCCCCGACAGGCTTCAGAGGGAGAACTGCCCTGCTGATGCCTTGACTTTGGACATTAGGCCCCCAGAACTGTGAAAAAATTTCTGTTGTCTGAAGCCACCTGGTCTGGGTGCTCTGTCACAGCAGCTCCAGGAGCCTGGCAAGGTCCAGGTGCACGCAGACGCAGGAGCTGGGATACAGGCACCTGTGCACACAGATGTAAGAGCAGACACGTTCACTGCAGCGGGATTCACGATTTCACCCAGACACTGGGATGGCAGGACGGGGTCCTGGGACAGCATGGGGTTGCTAGAAGGGGCGCACACAGACGAAATGACAGACACACACACAGGGCACACGCACGACCATGCCATATGACAAGGAGCAGGTTTGTGCCTACACAGGCACTGGGCAAGTATTTGTGGTGTCAACCTAAAAAGAAACTCAGAGACAAGCTCTTGCTGGCTTGGGAATGGCAGAGGATTGCAATTCAGGGTATGCAAGCTTTGGCAGGCCATAGGTGTATCCAGGGGAGTTGGGGAAAAGGCAAATCTTAAAGACGAAAAGGGCCAGGCGCCGTGGCTCAGACCTGTAATCCCAGCACTTTGGGAGGCCTTGGGGGGCGCGGATCACCTGAGGTCAGGAGTTTGAGACCAGCCTGGACAACATGGCAAAACCTGTCACTACTAAAAATACAAAAATTAGCTGGGTGTGGTGGCTGTGCCTGTAATCCCAGCTACTGGGGAGGCTGGGGCAGGAGAATCCCTTGAACCTGGGAGGTTGAAGTTGCAGTGAGCCGAGATCGAGCCACTGCACTCCAGCCTGGGAGACAGAGCAAGACTCCATCTCAAAACAACAGCAACAACAACAAAAGAAAGAAAGAAAGAAGCCCATAGAAGCTGTTTTCAAAGCCAAGGGTCACAAGGACCGAACAGTCCCAGGGGTCTGTTACAGGAGCTGGAATAAGTGCAGGGGCTGAGACAGTCCTGCTTGGCAAGGACTGTCTGGAGCAGTGCAATGCTGAGGACGCTCTTGGGTCGGGGAACTGTCTCCGCACGGGACCGTCTTGGGCTGCACCGTGTCACGGGCCTGTGGGTGTGCAGACTCCAGCTGTCACAGTGAACACTCCACCCCCCATAGAGCTCGTTCCACAGGAGTGGGGCAGTGTTTCCCAGACAGCTGAAGGCCTGCGTGAATTGTAACTCAGAATAATATTCACTAAAATGACACGCACTTAGCTCTCTTTTGTAGACAGAAGCTGCCTGATATACTGGTCAAGGGAACCCAAACGCACTGCAACCCTAGTGGCAAGACAACATCAGGCAAATCAGACCCCTGGGATCCTCGGTGAGGGGGCTTGGCTGTGTGTGGGCAGGACATGGAGTGCGGGAGCAGGGCAGAGGACGCGAGCCTGGGTGTTCTGGGCCCCAGGTGGAAGGTCTGATCCGCTGTGCTATGGGCCAGACACCTGCAGGGGGTTTGCTGTGGGGGGCTTGAGCAGAAAGAGGTGAGTTCCCTGCAGGAGCGGCAGGGGCTTGTGTGAGGGTCTGCAGTGGGATGGTCCTCGAGAGAGGAGCCATGGGGCCAGGTGTTAGCACCCCTCCATCCACCAGCCCCTGGATGTGGCCCCAGGAAGGGCATAACCTTGGGACAAACATGCACTTCAGCCCAGGTGAAAGCAAAGGTGGACGGCCCCTGAGGGCTGAGGCCAGCAACACTTAGCGGCTGCGACGAGGGGCGGCCAGAGGGGGATTGAAGGGCATTCTCAGCCTCCCGGGTAGCTGGGACTACAGGTGCACACCAACACACCCAGCTTTTGTTTTGTTTTGTTTTTTTGAGACAGAGTTTCGCTCTTGTTGCCCAGGCTGGAATGCAGTGGTGTGATCTCGGCTCACCACAACCTCCGCCTCCCAGGATCAAGCGATTCTCCTGCGTCAGCCTCCCGAGTAGCTGGGATTACAGGCTGCGCCACCACGCCCGGCTAATTTTGTATTTTTAGTAGAGACGGGGTTTCACCATGTTGGCCAGGCTGGTCTCGATCTCCCGACCTCAGGTGATCCGCCCACCTCAGCCTCCCAAAGTGTTGGGATTATAGGCGTGAGCCACTGCGCCCAGCCGTGGGCTGCATTTTATCTGTGGGATTCGAGGGGAAGATAGAATCAGGAAAAGGGTAGGACTAGGTTTGCATCTGCACACTAAATAGATGGCCGGGAGAATCTGCCCTGGAGAACAATGTAGAAGCCACAGAAGATCTGGTGTCTTTTCCTTTAGCCATCTCTCCTTTCGCAATCTGCCAGCCATCTGAGAGGGCCGCCCCCTGCCTTTCAAGTCATGTGTCCAAGTGACAGACCTCAGGCCCCTTTAGGAAACGCTAAGGGGCTCAGGCGTGCGGCTTTGCTGAGTAAACCTGAAGGCAGGCGATGGAGAAGGTGTCCTGGCTGCACAGAGTGGGTGCCGCACGGCCACAACAGCACCGGGCTGCTGGGTCCATGCAGCGTCTGTTCAGCAGCATCCAAAGGCTGAAACCTTAACTAGCGATGCACTTTCCTTATTCCTTTATGAATAGTTTCTGCCCTTTCCGCTCTTTGCATTGTGGTTTTGTCATACCCCACATGGTCCCGAAGTTGCAAAAAGGCCCTGCGGCTGTGACATGCACCCTGAGCACCCGGCATGGGGGGGCAGCGGGCCCGTGGCCCCAGGAGACACTGCAGCTGGAGGTGGGGTAAGTGGATTGAGCACCTCTGAAGCAGTGTGACCAGATGACGGGGCTGGCCAACCCCTCTGTGGAAAGACGCAGGCCTCCAGCTGTGGCGACGGGTGAGGCCAGGCTCGCCTCTCCCGAGGCTGGGCTGCTCTCATGGTACTCCTGCAGTCTGGACTGCTACACTTCCTACGTGTGCACGTGTGGGTAGCGGAGTGGAGCGTGTGAGTGATTCTGGGTGCTCAGGCACATGACAGCCTGGTTTCCCCTCATCAAGTTACCACTGTCATCGGACTCCAGGCTTCCACCATTGCCCCTGGAATTGTGCACAGCTGGCCCCAGGAAAATCCAGTGTGGTTCCAACATGAAGCGCACACTGGGAGCAGCTCCAAACCCACCCATTTCACACTCCCTGAAGCATTTCCTGTGGTGGGCCTGCTAGTTAGCTCCCAAGAGGTCACACACACAAACACAACAAAGTGAGCTATTAGGGCTGCACGTGCGCTCAGGGACGCAGCTGTCCCTCTACCCTGGCCCAGCTCGGGTTCTGCCAACTCCACACCCACAGTCTTCGTTTGAAGGGTCCCGGGTTTAAGGACCTGTACACATCTAGAGTGGACCCCATTAACATCCAGAACGACATGAGTAGTTTAGGATACGTTGTCACTAGAATGACCCCCAAATGTTTTTATTTACTTGCACTGTACTTCCCAAAGAATATTGCACCCTCTGGGCCTCCCTTTAGAGTGCAGGGAGGCAGCTGCGGGAGCTGAGCCTGCTGGGATGCACCTCCTCCTCCTGGCCCCACGGATGCCTTATCCTTCAGCCAAGGCCTCAGTGGCTGCCACGTGGTCCTCCCGTTCCTGGAGTTCTCAGCTCCATCTGCCACCAGCCCTCTCGACACTGTTTTTTGAGATGGCATCTCGCTCTGTTGCCCAGACTGGAGTGCAGTGGCACAATCTTGGCTCACTGCAACCTCCGCCTCCCAGGTTCAAGCGATTCTCTTGCCTCAGACTCCTGAGAAGCTGGGATTACAGGCACCCACCACCACACCCAGCTCATCTTGGTGGACTTTATACTGGGCACCTGTGTCCTGAGTGCTGACACAAAGGCAAGGCAAGCAAGCGCCCCCAGAAGACAGGGATGGGAGGCCAGGTCACAAGCGTGGCTGTCAGTGGACCCTACTGTGCACCCATTTGGCCACAAAGTAGTTTCATGCATCCTCTGCCCAGGATGAATGCAGAGAAAACTCGGCCGTACAGGCTGATAGGGAGCAACGGTTGCTGGCCCCAGGAAGGAAGGTGCTCTGAGCGAGACACCTGCTGTGAGCCCTCCTGTCACTCACCCCACTTCCGCCCGGGAGGATGGAGCTGGTGGTGAGGAGGCCAACAAGGCAGCCCCTTGCACCCCCACGGCTTCATCACCACCGTTCTCTACCCGGGGCTCTTCTGTGGGCCCGATCTCCAGCGACCCCGGGAAGCAGGAAGGGAAGCCTGAGTGTTAGGAGGAAAGATGGCCAAGAGCTACAGCTTGCCATCAGCTGAGCAGGGCCACGCTCCTCCCGGGGATTGCCAAGGGAGGGACCCCTGCTCTACCCAGAGCCCTGCTAAGCAGGGTAGAAAACATGCAGCCTGGGGAGCACCATGCCTGTGGCCAAACCATCCAGTGCGTGAGCCCCGGACAACAGGGCTGCCAAGAGCAAAGGCAGCCTGCTCGAAAAGCTGATGGTCATCAGATGACGCAGCTCATCACCAGTCTCATTGTTCACATGTAAATCCCCCTCAATTGTGTCACAAAGTGACAGAATTGTGAAGCACTAACGACCAGGCTCGGATGACCCTAGATGTGGCCAGCTGCTTCCTACAGGGCAGGGCGCTCAAAACCTATTTTCATGACCCCCCGTGTCTACTGCTGGGGCATCAGCTGCTCTGTCACCACCTGCGCTCAGGCACCTGCAGGCCCTTCCTATGGTGCCCACTGAACAGTGGTCAAACCAGACACGAAACACACATGACTCTGTGAGTTAGAGAAGGGCACCCACACACCCCAGACACACGGGTGCTCTTACCAGCCTGGACTCTGTGCTAGAGAAGGGCACCCGCACACCCCAGACACACGGGTGCTCTTACCAGCCTGGACTCTGAGTTAGAGAAGGGCACCCGCACACCCCAGACACACGAGTGCTCTTACCAGCCTGGACTCTGTGTTAGAGAAGGGCACCCGCACACCCCAGACACACAGGTGTTCTTACCAGCCTGGACTGTGCTAGAGAAGGGCACCGGCACACCCCAGACACACGGGTGCTCTTACCAGCCTGGACTCTGAGTTAGAGAAGGGCACCCGCACACCCCAGACACACGGGTGCTCTTACCAGCCTGGACTCTGTGTTAGAGAAGGGCACCCGCACACCCCAGACACACGGGTGCTCTTACCAGCCTGGACTCTGTGCTAGAGAAGGGCACCCGCACACCCCAGACACACGGGTGCTCTTACCAGCCTGGACTCTGTGCTAGAGAAGGGCACCCGCACACCCCAGACACACGGGTGCTCTTACCAGCCTGGACTCTGTGCTAGAGAAGGGCACCCGCACACCCCAGACACACGGGTGCTCTTACCAGCCTGGACTCTGTGCTAGAGAAGGGCACCCGCACACCCCAGACACACGGGTGCTCTTACCAGCCTGGACTCTGTGCTAGAGAAGGGCACCCGCACACCCCAGACACACGGGTGCTCTTACCAGCCTGGACTCTGTGCTAGAGAAGGGCACCCGCACACCCCAGACACACGGGTGCTCTTACCAGCCTGGACTCTGAGTTAGAGAAAGGTACCCACACACCCCACAGGGCTGATCTCCACTTAACCCTGCAGGGCCCTCATGGCCTCACTGAGCTCTGCCAGAGTCCGCCCTGTAGCAGTGCTTTTCGCACAGAAGGTCTGTGGGCCAGGATTGACCCAGAGGAGCTTCTGCTACGGCCGAATTTTCACTGTGAAATTCCCATATGCAGCACTTAATCCCAAGGCAGTGGTATGAGGAGGTCTCTGAGAGGTGAGTTGGCTTCGATGGGGTCATAGGGGTGGTCCCTCCCCATGGGATCTGGTCCCTCACAAGGGAAAGATGACACCAAAGCCCCTCCCCAGGAGGACACCTCTGTGAACCAGGAGGTGCTGAGCAGAAACGGACGGAGCCTGTTAGCACCTCTCCCTGGACTTCCAGCCTTCAGAGTTGGAGAAAATAAACCTGTCCTCGGTGCCACCCTGTGTGGTGTCCTGTTAAGGCAGCCTTGTAACTCCATCACTTACAGATCTCTCTACAGTCTTCGGTGAGCACGAAAGAACTCACGTGTATGCTGTAAATAAAAGATTTGGTGAATTTTCAAGCACACCAACATCCCAGCTTCAACAGCTGTCCATGTTCAAATACTACTACGTCTTTCTCCTTTTTATTAGCATTTTAAAGCACATCCCAGGTGCCACATCATTTCCCAATAAACACTTGAGAATGCATCTGAGTGACGGATCTTCCTTAAGCACAACCCTGTGTCACCATCACTGCCAACAGCCAATTCCCCACCCCACCCTACTCACAGCCCATGCTCACATTTCTACATCAGTCTCAAAAGTGACTGCAGAGGCCGGGAACAGTGGCTCACGCCTGTAATCCCAGCACTTTGGAAGGCTCAGGTGGGTGGATCATGAGGTCAAGAGATTGAGACTGTCCTGGCCAACATGGTGAAACTCCATCTCTACTAAAAATACAAAAAGATTAGCTGGGTGTGGTGGTGCGCGCTTGTGATCCCAGCTGCTTGGGAGGCTGAGGCAAGAGACTCACTTGAACCTGGGAGGTGGAGGTTGCGGTGAGCTGAGATCGCCCAGTGCACTCCAGCCTGGTGACAGAGCAGGACTCCATCTCAAAAAAAAAGAAAGTGACTTTGCACTTGGTCTGCTCACAGCAGGGTCACACGGAGCCCCTCGGCCTTTCTGCATGCCCGGCGCCCCTCGGGAAGGCCCCGTCTGGTGGCATCTCCAGCCAGACCTAACTCAGGGCTTCCTCTCCGAAGGTTCCACCTTCTCCTCTGCCCTAGAAACTCATTTCTGATTCCGACGTTACATGTGCATGTGTTGGCTGGATTTCTTAAAGAAAAACAGGCAAAAACAAAACTCCTGCAACAGTTCAGCTAACCTGAAACATGGGGGTCTCCCCTTGGGACCACCACTGGTAGATGTTTATTTCTGGCTGGTTAAGCAGACATCTTAAGTTTAAAACAAAGAGGTCACCTCTTCCCCACGAAACGCCCTGTGGCAAATACAGCCACTGCACTGCCCTGAGACCCAACTCGATCTGCCAATTCCAGGTGCGTGACCCAGATTCTGGGCGTGGGGGCTGGGTGGAGGCCATTTCTGCAGCCAGGGCCATTTCTGAGCACCCTCGCTAATCCTTGAACGAGCCTTCAGTATTACAAGTGCTCTTGTTTCCATGGCCCAGCCGCAGAGGCCGCAGGAGGGGTTTTGCATCTGTGCAATGTGCACGGCTGCCTCACGTCGCCCAAGACGGACAGGAAGTGAAGCCAGACCGGGCATCGAGTATGGGGTGCAGAGGCAGGAAGAAAGGCCCAGCACACAGTGACCCGGGGCCAGGGTGGAGTCCCTGAGCCAACAGCTGTGGGCACTGGGCAGGCTGCTCCGCCCCTGAGCCCGGGCCGGGAGTGCAGCTCGCTCCATGGTTGCACACGCTGTCAGCATGTCCCCAGGGTGCCCGGCGCTGGGGCACAGCCCCCACCATCTCCAGCGTCCTCATGGATCTGCTTCTCCCACCTGGCAGTTTTCCCAGTAAAACTCGGGGGTCTGGGGAGCTGTGAGGACCAAGAAGGCTTCCTGTCAGGTTGATGCTCCAGGCTGAAGAGCATCTTCTCACCGCAGCGCTCCCTCAGGCCCAACCCTGCCGCCGAGGCAGCACCCCGCCCTCGGGCGCCTCTACACCGCCCCGTGCCTGTGAGTGCCCTGATGGCGCGTGAAGAAGCCCAGGTGGCGGAAGCCCTTCCCGCAGTGGTGGCACTTGTAGGACCTCCTGGTCAGGTGCAGCCTCCGGTGGATGCTGAAGCCCTTGGGCCACCGGAAGGCCTTGCCGCAGTCGCCGCAGGTGTAGGGCCTCTCCCCGCTGTGCACCCTCCGGTGGTGGCTGAGGTTCTCCTTGGTCCGGAAGGCCTTGCCGCAGTCGGCACAGTAGAAGGGCCGCTCCCCGCTGTGCACCAGCTGGTGCCGGAGGAGGTTGGACTTCTGCTTGAAGGCTTTCCCGCAGTCGCCGCACGGGTAGGGCCTGTGCTCCGTGTGGACCTTGCGGTGCTGAGCCAGGCGGTCCTTCAGGCTGAACGCCTGCCCGCACGCCTCGCAGCAGAAGGGCTTCTCGCTCGTGTGGTTCTTCTGGTGCCGCTGCAGGTTGGAAGCCCACCGGAAGGTCTGGCCGCACTCGGCGCACTGGAAGGCCTTAGTCCCTGTGTGCACCGTCTGGTGGGCGAGCAGTCGGCTGTGGCAGCCGAGCGCCTTCCCACAGGTGCCGCAGATGAACGACAGCTCCACTGTGCGCCGCCCCCGGCGCCCTCTGCGGCCCGGCCGCTGCCCACAGCACTGCGTGAGAAGCTGACACCGGAAAGCCGCGGCCGCGGTGTCTGCCTTTTCCGGAGCAGCTCCGGGAAGCTGCCCGTCATCTGCGTCCAGCCTGAAGCCCTTCCTAGAGCTGATTCCTTCCCGGGCTCTTTCTCGCCGCACGGGGCTTTTCTTGTGAGCCCGAGCTGGATGATCCCAGTGTCTCTTGGGGTCTGCAGACTTCCTTGCCCCTATGGAAGTAACAGAGACCCTTACACAGAGCCAGTGGCCCACGGCCAGGCCAGGCAGTGCCCCCAGCAAAGCACAGAAGACCCTCCTGCTGTGTGTCGATTCCCTTCCATCTACTCAGCTCACTCTGCATGGCTACGAGTGAGCAAGAAAACTCATTCAAAGAAACACAGATGAGCCACAACTATCAACAGCAGAATCCAAGATGAGCTCAGACGCCTCCCCAGCTCTGGTGGCAGGCAGGCCACTCACTCCTGGCACTGCTGATCGGAGGAGGCACCCGCACATGCCTGCCGACCCACAGAAGCAACTGGGCCAAGAGGATGTCCTTCTACCTTGTTCACTCAGCAGGTGCCGCTTATGAGGGTGGAGGTGGGGCCGGATTGTCTGGAAGACAGACAGCTCCACGTGATTCTCCACCACTCAGCCTCGGAATCACAGCTCTCTCCAGTCGGGGCTCCACACACCCAGAGACCCCACACCTCCCCACTGGGGGCTCCACACACCCAGGGACCCCACACCTCCCCACTGGTGGCTCCACACACCCAGAGACCCCACATCTCCCCACTGGGGGCTCCACACGCTCAGAGACCCCACACCTCCCCACTGGGAGCTCCACACACCCAGAGACCTCACACCTCCCCACTGGGGGCTCCACACGCCCAGAGACCCCACACCTCCCCACTGGAGGCTCCACACGCCCAGAGACCCCACACCTCCCCACTGGGGGCTCCACACGCTCAGAGACCCCACACCTCCCCACTAGGGGCTCCACACACCCGGAGACCTCATACCTCCCCACTGGGGGCTCCACACGCCCAGAGACCCCACACCTCCCCACTGGAGGCTCCACACGCCCAGAGACCCCACACCTCCCCACTGGGGGCTCCACACGCCCAGAGACCCCACACCTCCCCACTTGGGACTCCATACGCCCAGGGACCCCACACCTCCCCACTTGGGACTCCACACGCCCAGGGACCCCACACCTCCCCACTCAGGGTTCCACAGACCCAGGGATCCCACACCTCCCCACTCGGGGCTCCACACACCCAGGGACCCCACACCTCCCCACTCGGGGCTCCACACACCCAGGGACCCCACACCTCCCCACTCGGGGCTCCACACACCCAGGGACCTCCCAGGGTCTCATGTTCACACAGCTGCTCCACCTCACTCTGAAAATCTAAGTAAAGAGCAAAACCCCTCTGACCACTGCCCCAGTTTTGCAAACCAGAACGTGGAGCAAACTACCCAGGACCATACACCTGGAGACCCTCACGAGCAGCCAGTGCCAGGCCTGTGACCCCATGTGACCATCACCGGGAGGTCACTCACACCAATGGCCTCTGCAGGACAGCACCTGGGTGGCGAGGTGCAGCCTTCAGGCCCCTCCCGAGCTGCAGCTGTACATCTCCCTGCACCACCGTACCCTGCGAGCCCTGGCCCTGGCCAGTGTCCATGGGGACAGGAGCATGGTGGCCCCTGCATTTCTCCTGTCTAGTTTAGAAAGCAGCTGTGTATGCCCCTCCCATGGGAGGAACACACGCTCGGTCACTGCATGGTGCTGAGCACTCACTGAGGGGCTGTGGGCTGCAGGGACGGGGCCAGCTGAGCCCACACAGCCCAGCACTCACCTGGGCTGGGGCCCCTCTGCACTGCCTGCAGCTCAGGTCTCTCCCGGTCTTCAACCCACGGCTCCTCCCACTGTTCCAAGCGGGAGATGAGGTCTGGTCTGGGGCTGCAAAATCCTTCTCAAAGGAGAGAAAAGGTTCCGTTTTACTTGTTCTGAGGACAAAGTGAGGGTTGAGGCTCAGAGTTCTGCCGGGAGGCCCTGGAGAAGCCACCCCTAAGCAGAGATGACAGGAAGGGAGGGGCCTGGCAAGGTCTGAGGAAGGAAGATGAGGCTGCCTCCAGGGTGAGTGGGCCCCTCTGTCCACACAGCCCAAGAGATTGCAGCTCCTGAGCCCTCTCGGTTGGAAGGCCCCGCTAACATCCCAGACCACCCAGGCCCAGAGGCAGCAGCAGAAGTTACCCAGCGCTCACCCTACGCCCACCCAGCACTCTGCCCACACTCACCCCGCACTCAACCAGCGCTCACCAGCACTCAGCCAGCGCTCAGCCCACGCTCACCCAGCACTCACTCCACGCTCACCCAGCACTCACCCCACGCTCACCCAGCACTCACCCCATGCTCACCCAGCACTCAGCCAGCATTTACCCGGCGCTCAGTCCACACTCACCCAGCACTCACCCCATGCTCACCCAGTGCGGCCACATTGCTGAAGGTGTCCAGCATCACGTCCCGGTAGAGGGCCCTCTGGCTGGGTTCCAGGCACTCCCACTCCTCCCGTGAGAAGTAAATGGCCACGTCCCAGAAGGTCACTTGTTCCTGCAACATACACAGCTCCTGAACTGGCCTTTCCCAAGAAAAAGAGGGCTCAGCCCATGGGTCTGGGCAGGAAGGGGGAATGGGGGTGGCCCTGATGTGAACAGATTGTGTCCCCTAAATCCATGCACTGAAGCCTGGAGACCCGAGTGGCTGTGTGTGGGGCTGGGCCTCTGCGGAAGAGATTCAGGTTAGTTACGTGAGGTCAGAGGTAGGACCCTGACCCATGGGCCTGGTCCTCATAGGAGGCTCCAGAGAGCTCCGGCTCCATCCCTGCACACGTGTGAACACAGCATAACAGAGGCTGTGTGCAAGCTGCTCACTGGCCCCTGCCAGAAAACGGATCTGCAGCACGCTGAGCTTGGACATCAGCCTGCAGAACAGATGACACACACGTGTGTAAACCGCCCACTGTGTGGTATTTTGTTAGGCCGCTCTGGTGGACTAAGTACCTGAGAGAATCTAGTTCATTTTCCTATAACAGCCACTGCTCTCCTAAGGTCAATAATGAATCCGATTTTCTTTTCTCTTCCCCCGCCCCTTAAGAGAGAAGGCAAAAAGGGGGACACAGGCACCATGCCTGGGAAGTCGTGGCCACAGACCCTCCCCGCGTGTGCTGGCTTTTCAGGCGGCTGGCAGGGCAGAGGGGAGGCTGTGCTCATCAGCGGCAGGGCTCACCTGGGCCACATCCATGGGAACAGCAAGGCCACCCCTCTGCGGAAGCACAGCACCAAGGAGGGCAGATCTGAGGAGATAAGAAATGTGAGCAGGTGCAGCGGCCTGGGAATGCCCACCCCACCTGACCCCAGGACCCCCCACTCAGCAAATCAGGAAGAATTCAGGAAAAATCAGTGATGAGCACATACGGTCTGCTCACAGCCACCATGTGTGGGGACACTCGAGGGTGGTGAGGGGCCAGCCTGTCTTTAGGTTAAGGGACAGCTGGCCACCTCCCACACACAAGAACTCTGAAATACCAGAGCAAGCCAGGCCTGTCATCAGAGGAGGACAGAGGCCAGCCATTGCCGGCTGAAAGCTTAGCTGCAAACACATGACTGGAGAATCTAACCCCAACCGAGGCAGCTGGGGCTCCTCCTCAGGAGACAGGCAGGGCAGACCATTCCCATTCCAGCGGTGCTGTGCGTGGAAGATGTTCTCAGGCACGCTACGAGGCCACCCTGCAGCCTTCCCCCACTGAAAACCTGGCACAGCCCCGAGAAATCCCATTAATTTTCACTGAGACTCCAGATCCAGCCACGAGCTCCCTAAACCTTACAGCCCAGGACTGTGGAGAACGCCTCAGCATCCCACTGCTCTCCTGCCACAGTGGGTCCTGACTCCTTCCTGAGTGAAGCTCAGAGCCCCAAGATGCAGAGGAGACCAGCCCCACAGTGCCCCTGAGGAGAGACAGAACCAGCTGGAGGAAGATGGCCCATGCCCAGTCACCTTGTCAGAGGGAGGAGGGGAGATGTCATTTTTGGCCCCTACAGACGGAAGAATCATAAAGGGCCATCGGGAGCAACTCTGATAAAAAGGGCCATCAGGAGCAAAGTATGCAAACAGCAACTGAGATGAAATGGACAAATGGGATGGAAAACACAGTATTAGGAAACTGACAAAACAAAGGGGAAGCCACACAGCCTTCTATCTGTTGAGGCAACTGAAAATGTGACTTGAACCCTTCCCACAAGGAAAATACCACAGCCAGCGAGATTCCCTGGTAAAGTCCACCAAAGCCGACGGAAGCACAGCACTGATCTTAGAAGCTATTTGCGGTGAACAGAGGAAGAGCAGACACTATCCAGTCTGTCTGAATGAGGCCAGCAAAACCCAAACCGAAAACCTGATAGAGATATTACAAAGGGCCAGGCAGGGTGGCTCACGCCTGTAATCCCACACTCTGGGAGGCTGGGGCAGGAGGATTGGTTGAGTCCAGGAATTGTCCAGCTGGGGCAACATGGCGAAACCCTGTCTCTACAAAAAACAAATAATTAGCAGGGCGTGGTGGTGCACATATGTAGTCCAGCTACTCAGGAGGCTGAGGTGGGGAAATTGCTTGAATTCGGGAGGCAGACGCTGCAGTGAGCCGAGATCATGCCACTGCACTCCAGCCTGGGTGTCAGAGTGAAACCCAGCCTGCCAGAGTGTAGGATTACCGGCATGAGCCACCCTGCCTGGCCCCTTGTAATATCTCTCTCAGGTTTTCGGTTTGGGTTTTGCTGGCCTCATTCAGACAGACTGGATAGTGTCTGCTCTTCCTCTGTTCACTGTAAATGGCTTCTAAGATCTCAAAAAAAAAAAAAAAAAGATATTACAAGAAAATTATCTACCTCTCTCATAAACACAAATTCTTTAAAAAAATTAGGAAGTCAAATCTAGCAGTTTACAGAAAGAATTCTCTGTCGTGACCAAGTGACGTGGCCCCCTAAGAGTGCACAGCTTGTTTGATCCCCATTAGCTGCAGCTAGTGCCCAGGAGGCTCCTCCACCACCTGTGCTCATCACTGGGTAGGGGAGGCTTGGTCGCACTCACCCCGCCCCTCGGCCCTCCCACCTCCAGCACAGCGTGGTCTCTCTCCTTCTGACACTCATGGATAGTTACATTAACCGCAACGTGTTTTCATGAATGTGCTTTTCAACTGGAGATTTTTTTTCACCCTTTCAGGAGCACAGCATCAACTGTGATCACAATGACTTCCCCAACATTTGCTATCATTTAAAAATGACATAATTATAATCACGGTAACAGAATAAAGGAGAAAACCATGTAATACCTATTATCTCAACAGATGCAGAAAAGGCATTTGTTAAAATTCAACACCTAATCCCAACAAAAACACTCAGCAAACAAGGAACAGAAGAGAACTTCCTCAACCTGGCAAACCCGCAGCCAGCATCCTGCTTCATGGGCTGGCCGATATGGAACTCTTCCCCTCTGAGACCAGGGACAAGCAGGGTGTCTGCCTACAGCTTCTCGTTATCATCTTATTGGAGGCCTGAGCCACTGCAACGGGGTAGAAAAAATACATAAAGCCGTAAGATCAGAAAGAAAGAAGGTCAGGTGTGGTGGCTCACGCCTGTAGTCCCAGCACTTTGGGAGGCCAAGGCAGGTGGATCACCTGAGGTCAGGAGTTCGAGACCAGCCTGGCCACATGGTGAAACCCTGTCTCTACTAAAAATACAAAAATTAGCCAGGCTTGGTGGCAGGCACCTGTAATCCCAGCTACTTGGGAGGCTGAGGCAGGAGAATCACTTGAACTCGGGATGCAGAGGTAGCAGTGAGCAGAGGTTGCATTAAGCCAGGATTCCGCTACTGCACTCCAGCCTGGGCAACAGACACTGTCTCAAAAAAAGAGAAAAGAAAAGGCTTGGGTCGGGCATGGTGGCTCACGCCGGTAATCCCATCACTTTGGGAGGCTGAGGCAGGTGGATCACGAGGTCAAGAGATCGAGACCATCCTGGTCAACATGGTGAAACCCCGTCTCTACTAAAAATACAAAAAATTAGCTGGGCACGGTGGCGCATACCTGTAATCCCAGCTACTCAGGAGGCTGAGGCAGGAGAATTGCCTGAACCCAGGAGGCGGAGGTTGCGGCGAGCCGAGATCGAGCCATTGCACTCCAGCCTGGGTAACAAGAGCGAAACTCCGTCTCAAAAAAAAAAAGGAAAAGGCTTATAGAAGAAAAAAAAATCAGTCATTATCTTCATAACACTGGGGTAGGCACAGATTTCTTTCATAGACCCCCAAAAGCACTTTAAAAAATTACAAATCGGATTTATCAGAATTAAAAATTTTTGCTTATCAAAGCAGTTAATGAAAAAAAAAAAGAAACTGGGTGCAGTGGCTCTTGCCTGTAATCCCAACACTTTGGGAGGCTAAGGCAGGAGGACTGCTTGAGGCCAGGAGTTTGAGACCAGCCTGAGCAACACAGGGAGACCTCTGTCTCTATCTTTTTATTTAAAAAAAATTTTTTTAAAAGAAACACAAAGGCAAGCCACGGACCAAGAGGAAATATTCCCAATATACGTATCTGACAAAGGACTTATATCCAGAACTGTCACTCCTACAAATCAATAAAAAATAAAATAAAACCAGCTTTGCGCAGTGGCAGTATCGTAGCCAATGAGGTTTATCTGAGGCGCGATTATTGCTAATTGAAAACTTTTCTCAATACCCCGCCATGATGACTTGAAATCTAGTCGGCGTTGGCAATTTTTGGCAGTCTCTATGGAGACTGATTCATTAAAAAAAACATAAAATAAAAAAATAAAACTTAAACTGGGCAAAATATTAGAACAGACTAATAGAACTTCAAAGTTATACAGTGGTTTACAAACACACACTGAGCACGTGGGTCATGGGTGGCATTTTCGAATCAAACTCTGACTTCCTCTAGCAAGTAGCAATGACCGCAGTGATAAAAACAACAGCTCCCGGCCGGGCGCCATGGCCCACACCTGTAATCCCAGCACTTTGGGAGGCCGGGCGCCATGGCCCACACCTGTAATCCCAGCACTTCGGGAGGCCGGGCGCCGTGGCCCACGCCTGTAATCCCAGCACTTTGGGAAGCTGAGGCGGGCAGATCACCAGGTCAAGAGATTGAGACCATCCTGGCCAACATAGTGAAACCCTGTTGCTACTAAAAATACAAAAATTAGCCAGACATGGTGGTGTGTGCCTGTAGTCCCAGCTACCCAGGAGGCTGAGGCACGAGAATCGCTTGAACCTGGGCTGCAGTGAGCTGAGATCGCACTATTGCACTCCAGCCTGTGTGACAGAGCAAGACTGTCTCAGAAAACAAAAACAGGCCAGTCATGGGGGCTCATGCCTGTAATCCCAGCATGTTGGGAGGCTGAGGTGGGTGGATCACAAGGTCAAAAGATCGAAACCATCCTGGCCAACATGGTGAAACCCTGTCTCTAGTAAAAGAATACAAAAATTAGCTGGGCGTGGTGGCATGTGCCTGTAGTCCCAGTTACTCAGGAGGCTGAGGCAGAAGAATTGCTTGAACCGGAAAGGCGGAGGTTGCAGTGAGCCAAGATCGCGCCACTGCACTCTGGCCAGGCGCCTGGTGACAGAGGGAGAATCTGTCTCAAAACAAACAAACAAAAAACCCAGCTCCCCTCAGCTGAACAGCTGTGTTTGCACCACAACGTGGGCTGGGCTTTGCAGCCTGGAAAGCCAAGTAAGGGGAGAGAACCATGAGACAGGTCAGGAAAGGAGCTAAGGCCAGATGAAACCTGAGCCATGGTTTCATGTGTAACACAACAGAAGTTTTTTTTTTTTTTTTGAGGGCGTTTCACTCTTGTTTACCCAGGCTGGAGTGCAATGGCGCTATCTCGGCTCACCGCAACCTCCGCCTCCTGGGTTCAGGCAATTCTCCTGCCTCAGCCTCCTGAGTAGCTGGGATTACAGGCACGTGCCACCATGCCCAGCTAATTTTTGTATTTTTAGTAGAGACGGGGTTTCACCATGTTGACCAGGATGGTCTCGATCTCTTGACCTCGTGATCCACCCGCCTCGGCCTCCCAAAGTGCTGGGATTACAGGCGTGAGCCACCGCGCCCGGCTACTGCAACAGAAGTTTTATACAACACAAGTTTAATAAAGGAGAACAGACAGATATCGTCATCAGCTCCTTTTTTCCCCCTGGGCAAATTGACACAGGATTTTTGTTTCTCTGAGGCAGCATCTTGCTCCGTCACCCAGGTTGGAGTGCAGCAGTCACAGCTCACTGCAGCCTCGACCTCCTTGGGCTCAAGTGACCCTCCCATCTCCCGAAGGCGCGTGCACCACCATGCCCTGCAATTGTTTAAATTTTGTGCAGAGACAGGATCTCACTATGTTGCCCAGACTGATCTCAAACTCCTGGCCTCAACGGAATCCCTGGCCTCAGTCTCCCAAAGTGCTGGGGTTACAGGTGTCAGCTACAGCACCCGGGCTAAGCTACACACACACATTTTATGAGATGGAGTCTCGCTCTGTAGCCCGGCTGGAGAGCAGTGGCCTCATCTCTGCTCCTTGCAACCTCTGCTTCTGGGGTTCAAATGATTCTCTTGCCTCAGCCTCCTGAGTAGCTGGGATTTCAGGCATGTGTCACCATACCAGGCTAATTTTTGTATTTTTAGTAGAGACAGGATTCCACCATGTTGGCCAAGCTGGTCTCGAACTCCTAGACTCAAGCGATCCACCTGCCTCAGCCTCCCAAAGTGCTGGGATTACAGGCGGGAGCCACCGCGCCGGGCTAAGCTACATTTTTAGAAAGAACCTCTGTGATGAACAAATGAGAAAGCAGCAAAACAGGATAGGGGTGGGGAGAAGACAGGGAGGCGTCCAGGTGACAGAGGAAAGCGGCCAGGATCGGGACTTGGAGGATGGGAACGGCGGGGAGTACGGAGCCAACGCACCAGTGACTGACTGCGTGGGGCCTGGGCAGGGAGGAGGAGGAAGCGAATCTCGGGTTTCTGCCTCCTCCCCTTCGGGTGGAATGCCTGGGAGGACCAGTGGGTGGGGCGTGGAGGCTGCAGGAGCTCAGCCTGGGGCAGGGGAGCTTTGGGCATTTTGACCTAAGTCTAAGTGCTTGCGTCTCACCGGGGCGTGCGGGCTGGAGGCACAGGTGTGGAACTGTCTGAGGGACAGCTGAGGTCACGATCGTGGACGGGGTCAGCCGGGGAGTCCAGCTCCAGGAGGATACGCAACCGGGTCCTGACAAACCTGCAAGCGCAGGCGGCGAGGAGAGAGGAGGAGGCTGAGCCGGGAGACGAGCCGGGGGCACCGGCAGCCTCCCGGGTCGGTCCCAGCAGCCGCGACGCTGGGTCTCACAGCCCTGGAGCGGCCGCAGAATGAGCTTAGCCAGCCCACGACCCAGATCCACGGGCGGCGGGCTGCACGGACGCACTCACCAGTGGGGCGTCCGCAGCCTCCGCTACGCCGCGCCGGTAGCCCAGACTTTGACAAATTTCCCGAGCGGAAGTTGCTATCCGAAGCTTCCGGTCCCTCCAGGAGCCCACGTCTCGGTGGTGCGCGCTGGCCGCCCCGCCTGTGGTTCCGCCCCGGCCGGAAGGACCCACCCGGGTCACAGGTAAGCGCCGCAACGCCAGGCTAATTTTTGTGTTTTTAATAGAGACGGAGTTTTACCATGTTGGCCAGGCTTGTCTTGAACTCCTGCCCTCAGGTGATGCGCCTGACTTGGCCTCCCAAAGTGCTGGCGTTACAGGAGTGAGCCACCGAACCCGGCCTCTTAACCTATTTTAAAGTCTAAAGGCCTAAAGGTTTTTCCCTACAAAGTGAACTGTAACCTAACTGGAAGTGTGAACAGACTGTCACCTGCTCTTGTACCAGTCACCCAGTTCCAGCCTGCCAGTCACCGGCGGCCAACTGTTCAAACCCAGGAGCAACTTTCTATGGGTTCCAGGTCTTACAGGAATCACTCAACTTAGTCGACCAATTGCCAACCCGAAAATCCTTGAATCTACCTATTACCTGAAGGCACCGAAAGTATGGCAAAGACATCTATTTAAGAGTAAAATATTTTGATTTCCTTTATCTGTCATGCGATGTGCCAGAGTCAGGTTGGAAACTAAGCCACATTATATAGGGTTAAATAAAACCCATCTGATGAAGTATTATGGTTTGTAGGGCAGACTCCCCAGGCGCTTTAGAGAGGATCTTGGAGCAAGAGAGAAAAAGATCAGAGTTTAGTCCTCCTTGGTAAAATAATGAGAGACACGAGGCAGGCAGACAGATGCCCAGGCAGATGGGGGCGGGTCCCCTGTGAAGCCCCACCTCCAAACGGAAGATAGTTTAAAGCCTACAAGCCAAGGTACAAGTGAAATCCTCCGACCGGAGTGAGTACCTGCCTTCCTGTTTGGCGGGCGTTCCTCTGACTGATCCCCACCGTTCACCTGTTTTACACATACCTACCCTTTCCTAACTGGTTTTCTACACCGCATGCCCACCTTTGAGTGCTGCCTTCACTCTAACCTGTTTCGCATTACTCACAAACCAGTGAGCACGCCCTTCCCATTCTGAGTCCATTAAAGGCCCTGGACCCAACCACACCGGAACTTTCCTGCCTTCCTGTAGGAGGACCGCCCCGTGTCCCCTCTCCACTGGAGGCTGTGTCATCACTCAGTGAAACTCCCCGCCTTGCTCACTCTTCGATTCTCAGAGCCTCCTCGTTCTTCTTGGCCATGGACAAGCACTCAACTCAGGTGGAGTTGGCAAGCCGTCCCCAGCAGCAGGTAGCCTGGTCAAGCGAGGCCCAGGCGGGGTGTCGCCGGCCACAGGACCCTGGCTTGCAAAGTGACTGAGAAGAACAACCTGCATCAATAGGAATGACTTCAAAATTGTGAAATATAATTTAATACTTGTTGATTTGCTGTTACTTATGTTTGTGGTTTTGAGCCTCTGGAATCAGGGGGCTGGACAGGTGGCCATGGCGAGGCCTGGGGACAAATTCTCAGTGTCTAGAACAACAGCTCCTAGGCAGAATCAAGCCCCATGTGGTCACATTTTCCCAGCTTTGCCTCCTGGCTCTTCTGGGAGGGGTTGGGTCCTGGGCATCGCCTCCACAGCTCTGTCCTGAGCTCTACACCTAGGATGTGACTTCAGGCCTCAGACAGCTTTGCCCTTCACAGCCTCCCTGGGTGCCACGCAGCTACTTGACACCCAGGAGGACTGGGGAAGACTGTAGGGAGGGCTGTAGGAAGACTGTAGTTTCAAAACTCTTTTTTTTTTTTTTTAGATGGAGTCTGACTCTGTTGCTCCTGGATTCAGGCAATTCTCTGGCCTCAGCCTCCTGAGTAGCTGGGATTACAGGGGCCCGCCACCACACCCAGCTAATTTTTTGTAGAGACAGGGTTTCACCATGTTGGCCAGGCTGGTCTCGATCTCCTGACTCAAATGATCCGCCTGCCTTGACTTCCCAAAGTGCTGGGATTACAGGTGTGAGCCACCTTGCCCAGCCAGGACCCCATCTCTTAAAAAGAAATTGTGTGTGTGTGTGTGTATGAATATAAAACGTTGGGAAGAAAAAATCTATAGTATTATAAAAGGTGTATGGATGAAAGTATGGCCAAAAGATGACATACTTGATATATTTATTTATAAGGTTTTATTAAAATTAGCTTTAGTGTTGGTAATGCACTGATGGGCTGGGTGAGGTGGCTCACGCCTATAATTCTACCACTTTGGGAGGCCAGCCGAGGTGAGTGAATCCCTGAGTCCAGGAGTTCAAGACCAGCCTGGGAAACACGGTGAAACCCTGTCTCTACAAAAAAAATACCAAAACAGGCTGGGCGCAATGGCTCAAGCCTGTAATCCCAGCACTTTGGGAGGCCGAGGTGGGTGGATCATGAGGTCAAGAGATCGAGACCATCCTGGTCAACATGGTGAAACCCCATCTCTACTAAGAATACAAAAAATTAGCTGGGCATGGTGGCGTGTGCCTGTAATCCCAGCTACTCAGGAGGCTGAGGCAGGAGAATTGCCTGAACCCAGGAAGCGGAGGTTGGGGTGAGCCGAGATCGCACCATTGCCCTCCAGCCTGGGTAACAAGAGTGAAACTCTGCCTCAAAAAACAAACAAGGCCGGGCGCGGTGGCTCAAGCCTGTAATCCCAGCACTTTGGGAGGCCGAGGCGGGTGGATCACGACGTCAAGAGATTGAGACCATCCTGGTCAACATGGTGAAACCCCGTCTCTACTGAAAATACAAAAAATTAGCTGGGCATGGTGGCGTGTGCCTGTAATCCCAGCTACTCAGGAGGCTGAGGCAGGAGAATTGCCTGAACCCAGGAGGCGGAGGTTGCGGTGAGCCGAGATCACGCCATTGCACTCCAGCCTGGGTAACAAGAGCCAAACTCGGTCTCGGAAAAAAAAAAAAAAAAAAAAGAAGATATGAGTGGCCGGGCATGGTGGCTCACACCTGTAATCCTAGCACTTTGTGAGGCCAAGGTGAGTGGATTGCTTGAGCTCATGAGTTCAAGGCCAGCCTGGGCAACATGGCAAAATCTTATCTCTACAAAATATCAAAAATTGGCTAGACATGGTGGGGTGCACCTGTAGACCCCATTACTCAGGAGGCTGAGGTGGGAGGATGGATTGAGCCCAGGAAGTGGAGGTTGCAGTGAGCCAAGATTACACCCCTCTACTCCAGCCTGGGCAAAGAGCCAGACCCTGTCTCAACAATACATAAAAATAAATAAGTCCAGTGTTAAGTGTGGCTTCATGGAGAGCCTGGATGGACGAATCCCTAAAGCGTCCATTATTAAAAGCTCTGCATTCCGTGACTCTCCATGAAAAAGATAAAGTGATACAAGTTAAATAAAACATCTTAGCAATTTAGAAAAGTCACCCTCTATGACCAGTGTTTGGTTTATCAAACCCACAATCCTGGGAAGAAAATCAAAACTTTAGGTATGTTTCTGCTACCTGATGGGTCTTTAAACATGTCTGGAGGGATTTAATTCAATTATCATTTTAAGTGCATGTTTTCTGGTTGTGTAAAAGCTTTCCCATGCAAGAGGGCTGACGCTAGGACAGTAACTAAAAGGTTGTTAGGAAATGTGTTTTCCTCATGGGACATTTCTGGAGAAATCTCCAATGACTGGAGTACTTGTTTCTCTGGACGTGGGAAGTAAAAAAGTTCCTCTTCAAAGTTTCCTTTGCTGTTTAAACAAATCATAAGTGTTAGAAATTATAGATTGTTTTTAAACACTTTCTTCAAAGCCGTCTTGTTTTTTACTAGTGACTCTGTTAAGCCCTGTCCTTTGTAGCTGTGAGACATGCTCACAGGCACATAGCACATTCTATGTCCTTGTACTTTAACCGAGATACTGTGCTGGATGTGCTCCCAGGCGTGTCCCAGCTCGCAGCCTGTGCCCCTTCCTTATTTGGACTTCCTTTTGCTCTCTATTGCTTTGTTCTGTTTAGAAAAGTTGAACGTTGTTGGCCAATCAGGTTTTAGTTTAGATCGTGAGGTCTGGCTCCAACCAGCGCAGACCAGACACAGCAGTAAGGACAACCCAAAATACATAAGGGATAAATATGTTTGCTTTTCCTTTGTTCGCTGTACTCTCATGGCAGGATTGCTAACGGGGGCCCCCTTTCTGCAGGAAGTAAAAGGAATTGCTTTGCTGAGAGATCCTTTGTCCCAGAACTGATTTTTCTTTGCAACACTGAAAATTTACATGTAATACTGGACAAGTTGTAAAACGGTTAAGTAAAGTAATCCAGATACAATAGCATTAGACAAAGATAACGGAATTGACTGGATTGCCCTGGTCAGAGGTGTTGTAGATTGATGAAAATCAGACGTATGCAGAGTGGGAAAACAGAATTTGACCTTTTATAAAAGTGGCTGAAAGGCCTATACACCTAATAATAAAACCTCATGTATCTTCCACTCCTGAACTCTGGTAGGATAAATGCTACAATGCAAGGTGCCAAAGTGTATTTTCACCAGCTAAGGAAGCTTGTCATGGTCCACTGAGTGAGGACAATCATGCCCTTCGCAATCTAGAACCTGGAGAGTGAGTCTTCTGAAAAGGAAACAAGAGAAGGCTGCAGCAAAACTGTGGTGCTCTGAACCTCCGCTTCATCATCTCACAACTCAGAAGGGCCCTGCCAGAGTCTTGTGTTGTTTGTTTGTTTTTTTGGGTTTTTTTTTTTTTGAGACGGAGTTTCGCTCTTGTTACCCAGGCTGGAGGGCAATGGCGCGATCTCGGCTCACCGCAACCTCCGCCTCCTGGGTTCAGGCAATTCTCCTGCCTCAGCCTCCCAAGTAGCTGGGATTACAGGCACGCGCCACCAGGCCCAGCTAATTTTTTGTATTTTTAGTAGAGACGGGGTTTCACCATGTTGACCAGGATGGTCTCGATCTCTTGACCTCATGATGCACCCGCCTCGGCCTCCCAAAGTGCTGGGATTACAGGCTTGAGCCACCGCGCCTGGCCGTTTGTTTGTTTTTTGAGACAGAGTCTTGCTCTGTCCCCCAGGCTGGAGTGCAATGGCGCGATCTCGGCTCACTACAACCTCTGCCTCCTGGGTTCAAGCCATTCTCCTGCCTCAGCCTCCCAAGTAGCTGGGATTACAGGTCCACACCACCATGCCCAGCTAATTTTTTGTATTTTTAGTAGAGACGGAATTTTGATATGTTAGCTGGGCTGGTCTCATTCTCCTCACCTCAGGTGATCTGCCCCCTGCAGCCTCCCAAAGTGTTGGGATGACAGGCGTGAACCAGCACTCCCAGCCTCTGCCAGACTCTTGGAACTACACACACATTGGAGACTTCAGGGTAAAGCTAACCAGGGAAGTTTCTCCCCAGAAGCAGACCAATAAGCATCCCAGAGGTGGGCAGTTGTTTGCCAAGATCGCAGATCAAGACCTCTCTGATGTCGTGTAACTCTTATCTCTCAATTTCTTTCCTTCTTTATACCTCTGTGAACAACAGTATCAGAAAGGAGTCTCTGGTGCACACCCACAGGGTACACTTTAATTTGTGGAGGATTTCACAGCCAACATTAGACACAGTACACAGACAGCCTTATGCCTTGATTGATGGAGCAGTGTAGGTGATACATGTGGATGGTCCATTTGTTGTTTCATAATCAGTTAGAAACAGAACACTGGTCAACTTCTGTTAGCCAGCTCAACAGGTTAGAGGGAACATTGCCAGAGCTGCCCCTGGATTTGCTGAGCTGGTAGGGCAGAGGGCAGCAGGCTGTCTGGAGCACTGCCCGGAGGCCTTCACCCTTCAGGATTTGTTAGGTCTTTCTCTATGGTTTGGAGTACATGAGGCAATGATGAGAAATGCATCCTCATAACAGGCGCTGGAGCAGATTCCACTGCAAAGGCTGTGGCTACACAGCAGATTTTAAATTCTCTTGTGCTGCGTAACGGGATTGCTCTAGATGACTCGAAATGGAAGCATCTGTCAGTTGCTGGCACTTCTGGTTGTACCCGGAGGAATCCGTTAGGTATTGTGGAGATTCGGTGGGAAGGAATGAATGCACAGGCCGTTTGTTTCAAGCGCGTAGACCCTTAATCAAGCTCCCTCTTTGATGTATTTGATTCAGTTTGTTTCATTGCGGAGGACTCTGGCCAGGAACACACTCCAGACTCTGTCCTGCCTCCTGATACTCATAACAGCAGTCTCGCTGGGCCCGCCTCTCTCAGAAGCTTTCAGTTTGCATGCAGCGTCTCCAGAATGTCCAATGGCCTCCTGTTGACTGAAAACACAGACACTCAAAGACAGAATGGTCACGAGGATGCCATAACCTGTGAATGGTGTGAGGTTGATGGCAGTGGCCGAAGGCAGACAGGTGGCAGCTGGAGCGGCTTCGGAAGCAGCAGTGGTGGCTGTGGGACCCCTGAACCCCACTCCCCCTGCCCCCCATCTCCTGCGGCCCTATCCCCTGTGCCCCCACGCCCCCTGTGCCCCCATACCCCCTGCATCCCCACGCCCCCTGCACCCTGTGCCCCCTGCACCCCGCATCCGCTGTGCCCCACCCTCGTCCCCTGCAGGCCACCCTCTGAGGGTGGTCCAGTGCTGTCCTGCAGGTGCCCCTTGGCATGAACAGCCTGGGCACAGTTAACAGTGGCAGGGATCAGACAGGCTCCCAGATGGAAGGGGATAGGTCCCCACTGAAGGCCCACCTTCAAGCTGGAGATGGCTTGAAGCCTGGGAGCTGAGTAGCCAGTCTCGAGAACCAGAGGGGGAACTTGTGGTGCTTTTCCCTGGGCCTACCAATGGCCGCCCATGAACCAATCAGCACACGCTTCCCTCTGAGGCCCATAAAAACCTCAAAGAGAGGATGGGGAGATGATGGGACTACCTGAACTGCCTGCAGAGAGGAGCCACCCACTCCAAGGCCTCCTGACTGCTGAGAGCTGCAGAGATGACAGGGGGACCTGCCTGCAAAGACAAGCCACCTACTCCAGGGTCTCCTCTCTGCGAGGAGCTGAACACTCACTGGGACACCCTGGCTGCAGAAAGTAGCTACCCCTTGCAGGAGACTGAGCTGTTCTCTTGCCCAGTAAAGCTCGTCTTCTTGCTCACCCTCCGCTTGTCTTCGCACCTCATTCTTCCTGGTCACAGGACAAGAACTCAGGACCTGCCGAATGCAGAGACTGAAAGAGCTGTAAGAGAACTGGCTGGGCGCGGTGGCTCATGCCTGTAATCCCAGCACTTTGGAAGGCCGAGGTGGGTGGATCACTTGAGGTCAGGAGTTCGAGACCAGCCTGGTCAACATGATGAAACCCTGTCTTTACTTAAAATAAAAAAAATTAGCCAAGTATGGTGGCATGTACCCATAATCCCAGCTACTCAGGAGACTGAGGCATGAGAATCACTTGAACCTGGGAGGCAGAGGTTACTGTGAGCTGAGATCATGCTACTGCACACCAGCCGGGGTGACAAAGTGAGACTCCATCTAAAAAAAAAAAGAGCTGTAACACAAACAGAGCTGAAACATGTCCCTTGCTGGCCACCTTGTGGGCAAAGAGGAGAGAAAAGCAGTGGCCCTTTGGGGAACCCAGACTTGAGAGCTCCCAGAACCAGGCCGTGACTCCCTCTTTGGGGGCCCAAGGTTCCTGGCGGCTTCAAGCTTCCAGGTACCATCACATTCCCAGTGCCAGCTGGGGGAGCTGCGTGCAATGCACCAGACTAGCTGCAGCCTCGCAGAGAGCCGGTGCCCATGCCAGCATCTGAAGCTGCCGGCCCCATGGCAGCAGTCGCCATGTTTGACTGCACAGTGGCCAAATCCCACACTCGCTCACACACCCCTTGCTGCTCTACGCCTGACTCACAGCCCCCCATGGAGGCATGGGATCCAGGCTGGTAGCGTGAGCTGAGCACACCCCGCCAGGCCAAGCAGACAGACCAAGCCCAGCAGGCCCAAGCAAAACTTGGGCAAAGGCATCACCAGCCACAGAGGTTTCCGGCCAGAAGAGCAACACTCCAAGGATCCTCCATCACTGGGAACAGAACCCTGAAATGACGGTAACTGAGAGTGGCACTGAGGCCCCAAGCTTTGGTCACACACTGACCTAAGTGAGAACCTCACCAAAAGGGGGGAATTTTAAAACAAAATTATGGAAGGCCATTGTTTTGGACTGAGCTTGTGTTACTAGGCCCCAGCAGACGGGACCGAACCAACATGGAGTCATTCATGCTAAATAATCAAACTACAACTTTAAGGGGTTTAAGCTAATTTTTTATACTTTTAGTAGAGACAGGGTTTCACCAAGTTGGCCAGGATGGTCTCGATCTCTTGACCTCATGATCCACCCGCCTCGGCCTCCCAAAGTGCTGGGATTACAGGTGTGAGCTACCACCCCTGGCCTTTTTTTTTTTTTTTTTTTTTTTATGGAGTCTTTCTCTGCCACCAGGCTGGAGTGCAGTGACACAATCTCAGCTCACCACAACCTCTACCTCCTGGGTCAAAGTGATTCTCCTGCCCCAGCCTCCCAGGTAGCTGGGAGCATGCACCAATATGGTTAGCAACATTGTGTATTTTTAGTGGTGACGGGGTTTCACCATGTTGGCCAGGATGGTCTCGATCTCTCGACCTGGTGATCTGCCTGCCTCGGCCCCTCAAAGCGTTGGGATTACAGGCATGAGCCACCTCACCCAGCCATCTAGCTAATTTCTTTTTAATTTTATATAGAGACAAGATTACACTATGTTGCCCAGGCTGGTCTTGAACTTCTGAGGTCAAGCAATCCTCTCACCTTGGCCTGGGATCACAAAGTGCTGGGATTACAGACGTGAGCCACCATGCACAGCCATGAACTGTTTGAAGTTTACAAGGCTGTGAGTAGCTCCCAGTTGAAAGCTGTGTGTATGTATGTATATGTGTGTATGTACATTACACACAATTTAACTGTGAGAAAGTGCGCATGCTGAAACAGCAAAAAGCATGTTCAGCTGCAAAGACAAATAAAATGTATCAAGTGCCCAATTATGTCTATACAACTAAGAAATAAGTTGCTAAAATCTATTGTTGAAACAGGAAGTGAAATCTCACAATGCTGGCGCTGCTGTAATTGCTGACAGGCCGGGTCCTGTGACCTGACAGCATAAAGAGGAGTGAAAAGGGTCCCTGCTGTTCAAGATGCTTGAGGTGCGCAGGGAGCAGGC